ATAGGATTCAACAACTCATCAAAAAGATCATACACCATGACCAAGTAGGATTCATCCCAGGGATGCAAGGATGGTTTAACATTCGGAAATCAATCAACATAATCCATCATATCACGATCATGATCAAGATCATCCTGTTGTTCGTCGATTTCCTCGAGCAGGCACCAGTAACATCTCTTTCTTCCTAGCCCTGAGATTTTAAAAGAGCCATTTCAATGCTCTTTCAGGATTAGGAGAATGAGACCCATCATTGTTACTGGTATTGGGGGATGCAAGGATGGTTTAACATTTGGAAATCAATCAACATAATCCATCATATCAACAAAAGAAAATATAAAAATCATATGATCATATCAATAGATGCAGAGAAAGCATTTGACAAGATCCAGCACCCGTTTATGATGAAAACCCTCACCAAATTGGGGAGAGAGGGGACTTTCCTCAATATAGTTAAAGCCATCTACCACAAGCCTACAGCAAGCATTATCCTCAATGAAAAACTGAGAGCCTTCCCCCTAAGATCAGGGACAAGACAAGGACGCCCACTCTCTCCATTACTGTTCAATATAGTACTGTAAGTACTTGCAATTGTTATTAGGCAAGAAAAAGATATTAAGGGCATCCAGGTAGGAAAGGAAAAAATCAAGCTCTCACTATTCGCAGATGTTAAGATACTATACTTAGAGAACCCTAAAACTTCTACCAAGAAACTCTTAGAAACAATAGACTTGTATAGTAAACTTGCAGGCTATAAAATCAATGCGCAAAAGTCCATGGCTTTCCTATATGCAAATAGTGAAAGAGAAAAAAGTGACATGAAGAAAGCAAGCCTGTTCACAATTGTGCCCCCGAAAATCAACTACCTAGAAATCAGCTTAACTAATGAAGTAAAGGACCTGTACAAAGACAACTACAAAACGCTACTTCAGGAAATAAAAGAGGAGATGAGAAAATGGAAAAATATCCCCTGTTCATGGATCGGGGGAATTAACATTGTCAAAATGGCAATGCTTCTTAAAACACTGTACAGATTCAATGAGATCCCTATTACGATGCCCATTCTTCAAAGAAATGGAGCAAACACTCCTGAAATTTATATGGAACAATAAGCCCCCATGAATAGCTAAAGCAATTCTTGGGTAAAAGGAAATGGGAGGAATCAACCTCCCTAACTTCAAACTCTACTACGAAGCAGTAATAATTAAAACAGCATTGTACTGGAACAAAGGAAGAGCTGCAGACCAATGGAACAGGGTTGAATATACTGACATCTCCCCACAAGCATATGATCATCTAATCTTTGATAAGGGGGCAAGAAAAGTAAATGGAGCAGGAAAGCCTCTTTAACAAATTGTGCTGGCAAAACTGGATGGCTACATGCAAAAAAGTGGGCTCTGTTCTCTGCCTAATGCCATGTACAATAGTAAGATCAAAATGGATTAAAGACCTCAGCATCAGACCGGAATCCATAAGGTTCACTGAAGACAAAGTTGGCAAAACCCTCCATGATATTGAAGGTAATGTTATCTTCAAAGATGTCATGCCACTGGCCAAGCAAGTGAAAACAGAGATAGACAAATGGGACTATCTTAAACTAGAAGTTTCTGCACCTCAAAAGAAACAGTGACTAAAATACAAAACAGTCTACAGATTGGGAAAAGATATTTGTCGCATACACATCCAACAAGGGGTTGATATCAAGGATATACAAGGTAGAGGTTGAACTCCACAAGAAGAAAACATCCAACCCCATAAAAAAAATGGGGCAATGAAATGAACAGAAAGTTTCTCAAAGAAGAAATCCGAATGGCTAAAAGGCACATGAGAAAATGCTCTACATCACTAATCATCAGGGAGATGCAGATCAAAACAACAATGAGATGTCATCTCACACCACAAAGACTGGCCCACATCTAAAAGAACAAAAGCAACCAGTGCTGGCATGGATGTGGTGAGAATGGGACCCTCCTTCACTGCTGGTGGGAATGCCAACTGGTTCAGCCCTTTTGGAAAACTGTATGGAGGATTCTCAAAAAATTAGAAAGTGAGTTCCCATTTGACCCAACAATACCACTCCTGAGAATATATCCCAGAGAGGCAAAAAAGTATAGTCGAAGTGACATCTGCACTGTTTGTTCATTGCAGCACTCTTTACAATAGCCAGAATCTGGAAAAAACCTGAGTGCCCGAGAACAGATGACTGGTTAAAGAAACTTTGGTATATTTACACAATGGAGTACTACGTAGCTGTTAGAAAAGATGAAGTCATGAAATTTACATACAAGTGGTACTACATGGAAAGTATCATGTTAAACAAAATGAGTCAGAAAGAGAGGGATAAACACAGAAAGATTGCATCCATCTGGGGAACATAAAGTATCAAAATGGGAGAATAACACCCAAGAGTGGCCGAGATTAGTACCAGAAAATTTTCTCCATGGCTTGGAAGCCAGCCACACATGCTAGGGGAAAGGGGAGCTCAAATAGAGAAGGGAGCACCAAATAAAGGGTGTTGGGAGGATCCTCCCAGGATGGAAGAAGCATGCTGAAAGTAGACTATAGACCAAACATGATTGCCATTAAATGCCTCTTTTGCAGACCACAACACCCAAAAGGAGAGAGAGAACAAAAGGGAATGCCCTTCCACAGAGGCAGTGTGGGTTGGGGTAGTGGGGGTGAGGGATGTTAGGCATACTGTGACCCATGTTTGTGGAGGATGGGCAGTGGTGGAGGGATGTGTACTTGATTATTGTATAACTGAAATTTAAGTACAAAAATTTGCAAGTCTACAACTGTACCTCATGGTGTTTCTCTAATAAAAATTTAAAAAATCTGCTTCACTCCTTTATGTGAATAATGAACTTGAAGAGAAAGAGTTCAGAGTCTACTCCATTCAAAATAGTTCCAAAGCACCAAAACCTAGGAATCAACAAAAGATATGAAAAAAACTATTAAGAGATAGAAAAATTCTATAGGAATTGAGAAAATATCCCATGCTCTTGTATTGGAGGAATCAATGTTGTCAAAATTATAATCCTACTTAAATTGCTACATAGACGCAATAAACTCCAATCCAAATCCTGATGACAGTCACCAAAGTCTTTTTGTTATTGAATCACTGTGAGATACTGTCACAAGCTTTTATGTTTGAGTTACAAACACACAATGATCAAACACCCATCCCTCCACCAGCACATATTCCCCACCACCAATCTCCCCAGTACGCCCCCTCTTTCCCCCGCCCTCCCCTGCCTTCGTGACAACCCCCCCATACTCTCTCTTCACTTTTGGGAATTATGATTTTCAATAAAGATACTGAGAAGTTATCATGTTTGGTCCTTTTTTTTTTTTTTTGCTTTTTGGGTCATACCCGGAGATACTCCGGGGTTACTCTCCTGGCTAATGCACTCAGGAATTACACCTGGCGGTGCTCAGGGGACCATATGTAATGCTGGGAATTGAACCTGAGTCAGCCGCGTGCAAGGCAAATGCCCTACTCTCTGTGCTATTGCTCCAACCCCATGTTTGGTCCTTTATCTTCTTTCAGCACACATCTCCTGCCCCCACCTATCCCTCCAACTGTCATTTTCTTACTGATCCCTTCTCTATTCTAGCTGCCTTCTCCTCCTGCTCATGAGGCAGGCTTCCAACTATGGAGAAATATTCCTGGCCCTTGAGTCAACAAAATCTTAGAACAGTCAATAATAAGGTTTGTATGGAACCAGAATATAACTGAGATATAAGAAATTGGGAGATACCTCATTGCCTAATTTGAAATTATACATCCATTAAAAACAGCCTGGTACTAGAATAAGGATAGGGTCTATGACCAATGGGATAGAATTGAATAAAGACTAATCACCCTTTATATGCTCAACTAATTTCTTACAAAGGAGCTAGGTAAATGAAGTGGAATAATGATAGCCTCTTCAACAAATGTGCGAAAACTGGAGAGTCACATGTTACATAAATGAAGCTGGATCCCTATCTCACACCCTATGCAAAAGTTAATTGGATCCTTGAAATTAGACCAGACTCCATAAAATATATTTGGGGAAATATAGGCAAAATGCTTCAAGATTTGAACCTCAAAGCTGTTTTTAATGATATGGTTTCATTGCAAAGAAAACAGAAACAAAAATAAACAAATGGAACTTCATCAAAGAAAAGTTTTTGCACTCCTGAAGAAACACAGGCTAAAACTAAGATACTCAACTGAATGGGGGAAAATATTTGCACTCAGCAACCAGATAAAGGATTATTATGGAAGATATAAAGTTCTCACAGAGATTAACCCCCCTCCCCAAATACACAAACGCTAGAAAAATGGGGAGAGGAAATAAAAAGACATTTCTTTAAAGGAAAACAGATGGTCAATAGATACATGAAAAATTTTCATAATCACATATAATCAGGAAAATTCAAATCAGGATGACAATAAGATATCATCTGACTCCAGTTAGAGTGACACAAATCAAGAGAACTGGAAACAATCAATGATGGTGGGGAAGTGGCAAAAAGGGAACTCTCATCCAGTCTGGTGGGAATGTTGCCTAGTTCAACCCCTACAGAAAACAGTATGGCGATTTATGATATGATCTAACAATTCTGCTTCTTGGTATCTACCCCTAGGACACAAAAAATATTCAAAAGAACATATGCACACCAATATTTATTGTGGCACTCAGCACATCTAGGAAACAGAAGTAACGGAGGTGCCCAACAACAAATGAATGGACAATGACAGTGCGGTATATACACACACAATAGAATACTATGCAGCTGCGAGGAATGATGAATTTAAGCATTTTGCTGCAGCTTGGATAAAACTGGAGGATATCATGTTAAGAAAAACAAACAAAAACCCATGAAAGAAAACCAAAAACTAACCTTGTAAATCACAGCACGTTAATAGCTAATACAATAAAACAAAAGGTGTGATTTCAATATATCTCCTTTGAAATTTTCAAAGTTAAAAGTTTTAGTAAAAAAGTACTTACAATTGAACCAAAGGCTGAAACTTTTCTTTGATATGAACTTTTAATGGGCAGCCATATAATTTCCAGTCATATTTTACTCTCTATGACAGAAAAAATGCTTTAGTTATTTCTTGTATTATAATCTTCCTTTCTTCCTTCCTTCCTTCCTTCCTTCCTTCCTTCCTTCCTTCCTTTCTTCCTTCCTTCCTTCCTCCCTTCCTCCCCCCCACCCCTCTCCCCCTCCTCCCCCTCCCCCTTCCCTCCCTCCCTCCCTTCCTTCCTTCCTTCTTTCCTTCCTTCCTTCCTTCCTTCCTTCCTTCCTTCTTTCCTTCCTTCCTTTCTTTTTTTCTTTTCTGTGGGGGTGGGAGAGGACACACCTGGCTGTGCTCAGAGATTACTTCTGTCTCTGTGCTTAGATATCACTACTGGCAGGCTCAGGAGATTACATGGGCCGTTGGAGATAAAACTGGATTGGCCATGTACAAGGAAGATGCCTTATCCTCTGTACTATCTCTCTGGCACCAAAACTATAGTTTTCTTACCTTTTTTCCAGACTGTTGATGCCTTAAATATGACCTGTAGAAAAGATATTTCTTATTAATTAATTCTCTTTTTAAAAGACTTATGCATTAAAACTGCTATTTCGTTTAGATAAGGAGGTATCACAATTATCAAAAAGGTATTTATAATTATAAAATATTCCCTAAATATGGAAATATGGAGTGTAAACAACATACATATAAACAATACATGGTTCAAAGAAGAAATATTTATTTATTTATTTTTGCTTTTTGGGTCACACTCGGCGATGCTCAGGGGTTACTCCTGGCTCATGCACTCAGGAAATACTCCTGGCGGTGCTCAGAGGACCATATGGGATGCTGGGAATCGAACCCAGGTCGGCCATGTTGGCTGCGTGCAAGGCAAAGCCCTACCTGCTGTGCTATCGCTCCAGCCCCCAAAGAAGAAATATTTAGAAAAATTTAAAAACTATTTTGGTCACTCATCTAGGTACCCGCTGGGTGGCAGGGCCCCTTCCCAGGGCTGCACTTCTTCCTACATCTCCTGAGAATGGCTGGTTTTCATCCTTGGTCTTCGGGGACCGGGAATTGAGGCACACCATGCGAATCCAAAGCTAAGCCAGCACCCTCTGCTCACTTATCCAGGTATCCACCTGGTGGCAGGACCCATTCCCAGAGCCACAGACACGAGTTATTCTCCTCCTACATATCCCATAGGAACCATAAGTTACCCTCTTAGATGGAACTTTCAATAGGTTAGCTTAACCACCAAAAACACATTAGCCAATAATTCACTAAGCTCATCTCATTTACTTCTGCATCTTAATCAGAATAGTAATAGTGAGTGTGAAGGTCTAAACCACACAGGTCACAATGGTAAAGCAATACAGAAGCCCACCAAGCTTACTTATTGAAGAGGCTAGCCCAGAAGACACCAATAGTGATGAAGTGCTAGACAACCTCTCTGACAAAGAATTTAGAAGGCGCTACTGAGGATGCTTAGGGACCTAAAAGAAACAATGGAAAGCAATGCCAATAAAAGACATGGGGATTTAAAGGTAGAAATGAAGAAAATGCAAACAAAACTACAAACAGAAATGTCAGACCTAAAAAACCTAGTAAGTAAGTAAAGTAAAGGCCCTCCCGTTGTTCATCAATTTGCTTGAGCGGGCCCAATAACGTCTCCATTGGAGGTTTTGTTGTTACTGTGTTTGGCATATCGAATACATCACAGGTGGCTTGCCAGGCTCTGCCGTGTGGGTGAGATAATCTCGGTAGCTTGCCAGGCTCTCTGAGAGGGGTGGAGGAATCAACTCGGGTCGGCCATGTTGGCTGCGTGCAAGGCAAACGCCCTACCGTTGTGCTATCACTCCAGCCCATCAATAGGACTATGGCACAGATGGATTCACTAGTAAATTCTTCCAAATCTTTAAAGAAAACTTACTCCCAATCCTCTTTAAGCTTTTCCACAAAATTGAAATATCAAAAACACTCCCGAACAGTTTCTATGAAGGAAATATCACCCTGATGCCAAAAGCAGACAGAGATACCACAAAGAAAGAGGTCGATATTCCTGACGAACACAGACGCAAAGATCCTCAACAAACTATTAGCAAATAAAATCCAATGACTCATCATAAAGATCATACACCATGACCAAGTAGGATTCATCCCAGGGATGCAAGTATGGTTTAACATTCGGAAATCGATCAACATAATCCATCATATCAACAAAAGGTAAAGATAAGATAAAGGCCCTCCTGTGGATCATCAATTTGCTCGAGCGGGCCCAGTAACGTCTCCATTGGAGACTTTGTTGTTACTGTGTCTGGCATATCGAATACGTCATGGGGAGCTTGCCAGGCTCTGCCGTGCGGGCGAGATACTCTCGGTAGCTGGCCGGGCTCTCCGAGAGGGGCGGAGGAATCGAACTCGGGTCGGCCATGTTAGCCGCTTGTAAGGCAAACGCCCTACCTGCTGTGCTATTGCTCCAGCCCATATCAACAAAATAAAAGATAAAAACCACATGATAATATCAATAGATGCAGAGAAAGCATTTGACAAGATCTAGCACTCGTTTATGATGAAAACTCTCAGCAAAATAGGCATTGAAGGAACTTTCCTCAATATAGTCAAAGCCATCTACCACAAGCCCACAGCAAGTATTCTCAATGGGGAAAAACTAAAAGCTTTCCCTCTAAGATTGGGCACAAGAAAAGGTTGCCCACTTTTGCCACTCCTATTCAATATAGTATTGGAAGTCCTGGTCATTGCAGGTAGGCAAGAGAAAGGTATCAAGGGAATACAGATAGGAAAGGAAGAGGTCAAACTATCACATTTTGTAGACGATATAATACTATACTTAGAAAACTCTAAAGATTCTACAGAAAAGCTCCTAGAAACAATAGGCTGGTTTAGTAAAGTGGCAGGCTACAAAATCCAACACCCAAAAGTTCATGGCTTTCTTATATACAAATAATGAAAGAGAAGAAATAGACATTAAAAGGTACTACATGGAAAGTATCATGTAAGTGAAATGAGTCAGAAAGAGAGGGACAGACATAGAAAGATTACATTCATCTGGGGAATATAAAGTAATCAAATAGGAGACTAACATCCTAGAATAGTTGAGATAAGTTATAGGAGGTTTACTCCATGGCTTGAAGACCAGCTGCACATGCTACGGGAAAGGGCAGCTCAGACAGAGAAGGGTACACCAAGTAAAGGGTGTTGGGAGGATTCTCCCAGGATGGGATATGCATGCTGAAAGTAGACTTAAACCGAACGTGTTTGACACTTAATGACACTTTTGCAAACCTTAGCAACCAAAAGGAGAGAGAGAACAAAAGGGAATCCCCTGCCACAGAGGCAGGATGGGAAGGGGGTATGGGAGGGGTGGGAGGGTTACTGGGATCTTTGGTGGTGGAGAATGGGCACTGCTTGAGTGATGGGTACTCGATCATTGTACTTGATCATTGTATGACTGAAACCAAAGTACAAAAACTTGTAAGGTCAACAACTGTACCACATGGTGTTTCACTAATAAAAAATATTTTAAAAAACAATCCTGTTCACAATAAAGTAAAAGGCCCTCCCATTGATAATCGTTTATCTTGAGTGGGCCCAGTAACGTCTCCATTAGAGACTTTGTTGTTACTGTGTCTGGCATATCGAATACGTCACGGGGAGCTTGCCAGGCTCTGCCGTGCAGGCGAGATACTCTTGGTAGTTTGCCGGGCTCTCCGAGAGGGGTAGAGGAATTGAACTCAGGTCGGCCATGTTGGCTGCATGCAAGGCAAACGCTCTACCGCTGTGCTATCGCTCTAGCCCTAGTACCTCAGAAAATCAAGTACCTCAGAATCAGCTTAACCAAAGAGGTGAAGGGCCTATACAAGGAAAATTTTAAAATACTACTTCAAGAAATAAAAGAGGACACTAGGAAATGGAGACACATCCGCTGCTCGTGGATAGGGAGGATTAAAATTATCAAAATGGCAATATTGCCCAAAGCACTATACAAATTCAATGCAGTCCCTATCAGGATACCCATGACATTTTTCAAAGAAATAGACAAAACACTCCTGAAATTCATATGGAACAACAAACCCCCACAAATAGCTAAAACAATCCTTGGGGAAAAGAAGATGGGTGGCATCACCCTTCCCAACTTCAAACTGTACTACAAAGAAGTATTAATTAAGACAGCATGGTACTGGGATAGAAACAGATCTGCAGATCAAAGGAACAGAGTGAATATTCTGTCACAGACCCTCAAATATTTGACCACTTAATCTTTGACAAAGGAGCAAGAAATGTGAAGTGGAACAAGGAAAGCCTCTTCAACAAGTGATGCTGGGAAAATTGGATAGCTTCCTGCAATAAAAAGAACTCTGACCTCTGTCTAATGCCAGGCGCAAAAGTCAGATCAAAGTGGATTAAAGACCTCAATATCAGACATGAATCCATAAGGTACATAGAGGAAAATGTAGGTAGAACTCTCCACAACATTGAAGCTAAAAACATCCTTAAGGATGAAACAGCACTGACCATACAAGTGGAAGCAAATATAAACAAATGGGGCTACATCAAACTAAGAAGCTTTTGCACTTCAAAAGAAACAGTGACCAAAATAAAGAAACAGCCTACTTTTTTGTTTCATTTTCCCCTTCACAGTTATTCAAATTTAATACAAATGCTCTCTGTAAAAAAACAACTATTTTGAACTAAATGGAAATAAAAAAACAACTTATAAAAATGTAAGCTGTAGCAATAATATTGCCTGGAGGTAAATTTATGTTAATAAATGCATGCATTAGAGAAGATTGAGTCTAAAAAGAATAAATACTGACCACTGTCTCTAAATTACTGGTATTATATAACATAAAGAATGGGAAAGAATATTTACCCAATACCCATCTGATAAGGGATTAATATCCAGGATATACAAGACACTAGTAGAATTGTACAAGAAAAAATCTTCCAACCCCATTAAAAATGGGGAGAAGAAATGAACAGAAGTTTCCTCAAAAAAGAAATACAAATGGCCAAAATGCACATGAAAAAATGCTCCACATCACTAGCCATCAGGGAGATGCAAATCAAAACAACAATGAGATATCATCTCACACCACAGAGACTGGCACACATTCAAAAGAACAAAAGCAACCAGTGCTGGTGTGGATGTGGGGGAAAAGGGAGACTTTCACTGTTGGTGAAATGCCCACTAGTCCAGTCTTTCTGGAAAACAATACAGACAGTCCTTCAAAAACTAGTAATTGAGCTTCCATATGACCCTGCCACTTCTGGGAATATATCCCAAGGATGCAAAAAAGCACTGTAGAAATGACATCTGTACCTATATGTTCATTGCAGCACTGTTCAAAATAGCCAAAATCTGGAAACAACCCAAGTGCTCTAGAACAGATGACTGGTTAAATAAACTGGTACATCTACACAACGAAATACTATGCAGCAGTCAGGAGAGATAAGTCATGAACTTTGCTAATAAATGAATAGACATGTAAGTATGAGTATGTAACATGAGTATCATGCTAAGTGAAATGAGTCAGAAAGAGAGGGACAGACATAGAAGGACTGCACTCATTTGTGGAGTATAAAACAACATAACATGAGGCTGACTCCTAAGGACAGTAGATACACAGGACAGTTAGATTGCTCCATAGCTGGAAGCCTGCCTCATGAGCAAAGGGGAGAAGGCAGCTGGAATAGAGAAGGGTTCACTAAGAAAAAGATGGCTGGAGGAATCGATCAGAATGGGAGATGTGTGCAGAAAGTAGATAAAGGACCAAACATGATAACCTCTCAGGGACAGAATTGCAAACTATAATGCCCCAGAGCAGAGAGAAATTATGAGGAATCATATCTGCCATGAAGGCAGAGGGAGGGTGGGTAAGGGGGGTTATACTGGGTCTATTGGTGGTGGGGGATTTAAACTGGTGGAGGGATGGGTGTTTGATCATTGTGTGATTGTAACCCAAACATGAATGCTTATAACTAAAAAAAATGAAACATGCAAGAACTTTGCCATATATTCACTTGAAAGAACTAAATTGATAGTGGATTTTTATATATCCTGTGAACTAGGAAAATCTCAGTTCATTGTTTCTCTATTTGACTTTTCCTACTTACCACTATATTTGTTTCAAAATCTTTAGTTTTTCTACTTTTTTGTTTCATTTTCCCCTTCACAATTATTCAAATTTGATAAAAATGCTGTCTATGAAAAAACAACTATTTTGAACTAAATGGAAATAAAAAAACAACGTATAAAAATGTAAGCTGTAGCAATAATATTGCCTGGAGGTAAATTTATGTTAATAAATGCATGTATTAGAGAAGAATGAGTCTAAAAAGAATAAATATTGACCACTGTCTCTAAATTACTGGTATTACATAACATAAAGCATTAATATAAACCACTGAAATATTTCTTACTTTTCAATGTCATATAAAAATTCATATGGAAGACAATCTTTTTTTTCAAATCTATTATAAAGAAAACAAAGTTTTAGTATCATAATTTCTTATATAATTGCACAAATATTTAACTACTTAAGTTAGTGGATCTCAAACCTGAAATTGTCAAAGAATCATTACTTACTGAATTAGTATCTATGGTGCATGGCTTTAGCATTTCTTTTCTTTTTCTTTTTAAATGTTTCACCAATGTTTCTGAAGATACCAACATTAGAAACTTTCCATTTTACCTCTTATGCAACGTACCTTGATACATGTTTACAGTTCATAGCTACAAAAATAAATACTTATTTCTTTGGACTGTATCATTTGTTATAGTTTTGTGGGGGGTGAGGATGGGCCAAACCTGATGGTGCTCAGGGCTTATTTATCATGACTACTACAATTTTGAAATTATTGTTTAAGGAACTAAAACTTTAGTAAGCTAAAGGATTCCAAGAAGGTCCTAGGGATGTCAGCAGGAAGTTTACCTCACATTGAAGGTTGGAAGAGTAAACAACAAACAGAGTGCCTGAGATGTGGAGGTAGCATCTAAGTTGTAGCTTCTTAAACTGTGGGCCATGACCCTACATGGATGTAGAACTTTAAAAAAGTTTTGTTTTGAAACATATTGTAGGTACCATCTTGGTAGCTGTTGCCACTTTTATTGATAGCAGCACTGAAATATAATATAATGTGTTAATGGCAGGGTTTCATGCATACTCAAACACCACCACACCCACCAGCACACCCATCACCAGAGCGTATGTTTCCTTCTACCACTAACTCAGGGTCACTTCCTAGACACCTTTCTCCCACTCCCACCTCAGTTCTATTTATCAGTTCTTACATTATCTTTTTTTTTTTTTTGCTTTTTGGGTCACACCCAGTGATGCACAGGGGTCACTCCTGGCTCTGTACTCAGGAATTAACTCTGGCGGTGCTCAGGGGACCATATGGGATTCGGGAAATTGAACTTGGGTCGGCCGCGTGCAAGGCAAACACCCTACCCGCTGTGCTATCACTCCAGCCTCTCTCATGTTATCTTTGACCATTTGTTCATCCCATATTGTTTTTTCAGAGGTCACGTGTGAGAGAGAGAGAATTCTATATCTGTCCCTCTCCTTCTGACTGACTTTACTCAACTTTAATCCCACAGTGTTAATGGCTTATTCCTGGCTCTCTGCTCATGGATCACTCCCGGTAGTACTGAGGGGACCATGTGTGGTGCCAAGGATTGAACCCAGGTTGGATGCATATAAGGTAAGTGCTCTATCCCTTGTGCCATATCTCTCCAGACTCAAATGCATTTCTTTGATATGATATACTATCATGTGACATGGTATCAGTAAAGATTTGATTTTTATACATTTTTAATATACCTATTTACACAAGGTCACATGAAAATTTCTTTGGCAAAAAGTTGTCATGTGTGGGAAAAGATTAAGAAGTCCCTGAACACACTATGTGACCTCCAAACAGAAAAAAAATTTCTGTAATTATAATAAATTTCCAGGTGATTCCAGCATTTGTTCACAGGTGATACGCTAAAAAACAAGGTTGGAGACCACCACCCAAGTGAAAAATAATGCATGCATACAGTAGTTAACCTTTTTATAAACTTGAGGAGAAATTGTGGCTACAACGGTGTTAGAAATAAAATTGCCTTAAATAATGTTGTGGTGATACTTAATTACAAATCAAGACATAAATTAGTATAATTTGGTACTCAAAAATTATTAGAGTTATTAACATGAGTTTTGGATGAGAACAAGTCATTTCAGAAATAGTCTGAAAAAGCAAATCCAAGTGTATCTCTACTCTTAACCTACTCTTAGCTACAGAAAACCACCTGAAGTACATAGTTGTCTCCATATGTATTTAACTCAAACAGACGTAAGTATTCAGACCTGAAACTCCATATAGAATAGAACTATCATTAGCAGTTAGCATAAAATCCACTGTATTTCCTCATGTACCACAGTGAGATCAATGAAAGTTACACCTTGGAACCCTCTGAAAGAAACATAGGTGTTTTTTTTTTTTGAAATACCATTTTTAAAAATTTTTTATTAGTGAGATACCATGAGGTACAGTTGTAGACTTACAAATTTTGTGCTTGGGTTTCAATTATACAATGATCAAATACCCATCCCTCCACCAGTGCCCATTTCTAGGTGGTTCTTTTAAGTTTGGTCTAAAAGTAAGTTAGAAATGGCACAAAAAACTGAGGTTTCTTTGATCCTGATGCAAGCAATTCCCTAACAGAAATAAAATATTTACATGTAGGAGTAAGATGGAAAACAGAAAAAAAATCAGTTTTATTCTTGGAAATATGTATAGACAGAAAAATAAAGAAGCAATAGTGAAAGAAACTGGCTTAGAAAAATTGGTAAAGGAAAATAGTAGTAATAGAAGTTAATTCTGTTTTCCTTTTAAGTGCAATAATATTTGACTGGTAAAATAGTTGGAACAAAATTGGGTTAGTCAAATTTTCAATTCAAGTTTTGGACTCAATATACATTATGTTATAGACACAGCAGTCATCAGACTTACACTGTTATTAGTAATTATCATTTAGTTCATCTTTTTAAAAATGTCTTGAAAAATGACAATTAAAATGCTAAGATACTTGCCCCTTGACAAGGATGTACTTAGCTGAATCACAGCCAACAAGGACTTGAAACACCTAAAATGAGAGAAATTATGTGGTAAATTCATATGATTTACGCCATCTACAATATTACTGTAACAGCAATAGTTTTAGACTTGAAATTAAAAAAATTATTATTAACATCGTTCCCAGCATCTTTACAATGTGACTATCAACTCTGCATTTCCAGCTTGCACCTGATTTCACTGGCAGGTTTAGCTATTAAAATAGAATCTGGGGCTGGAGCGATAACACAGCAGGTAGGGCGTTTGCCTTGCACGCGGCTGACCCGGTTTCGATTCCCTGCATCCCATATGGTCCCCTGAGCACCTTCAGGAGTAACTCCTGAGTGCAGAGCCATGAGTAACCCTTGTGCATTGTCAGGTGTGACCCAAAAAGCAAAAAATAAAATAAAATAAAATAAAGTAAAATAGAATCTGCAATTATTAATTTAATTTCTTTTTAACCAGAGTTCTTCCTTGATTAGAATGCCTACTTCGATTTATTTTTCTCCAGGACATCTGGATCAGAGTTGTTCACTAACCTCCCTACACCCAGCTTTCTAAGTTTGCTTTACGTCTGTCTTTAGAATTCCCTGAATGTTTAATCTTTCCACAAAGCAAAAATAAACAACCTGAAAACTCCTACTCTAAAAAAAGAGGAGTGCAAAGAGAATGATGATAGAGGATGATATCTAGTGAACCAATAGTTTTAAAGAGATGCCCTGCTAAGCCAAGATCTTTCGGAGTCCATTTAGAAGGCATACTCCATAGTAAGACTTTAGGAATCTTATTTTCTGAAGCACTTGATCTCACCCTGATCAATTAAGACAAGATTTTGTTCTTTTTTGTTAGAATTTCAGTCAATTCTAACAAGTCTTGCAAACGCCCTCCCTGCTGCTGTTGCTGTACTGTACTGTTGCTCCAGCCCCTCTTTTTATGTTATTATTAAATCTTCTTATTAAATAGTGCTACTCTCAAAGTGCCCGTAACCCCCCACCCATTCTTATGTCACCTCCTCCATTCCTGCCCCTATGTCACTTCCTTCCCCCAACTCATGCCTCCATTATTTTCTGATAGTTATGGTTTTGGTGTACACTGTTACCTCCCTTAGCCACTGCTCATGTGTTCCAGACCTTCCACCTACTTTTCTGTATTACTTCCAGTCAACCCAATCATCTCTGTTGCCCACTACCCCATCCCATCACTATTAGGTCTATAATCCAGTGTTCAAGATTTATTACCAATTAATATCATCCATGTATTTGTTTCTCTGTATTCACAGGTGAGAGATTATTCTGTATTTGTCCTTCTGCCCCTGGCTTATTTTGTTCACCATGATACCCTCCAATTTCATCCAAGTTGCTGCAAACTGCCTGACTGACATTTTTTCTTATGGCTGCACAATATTCTTGATCCATTCATCTGATGTTGGACATTTGGATTACTTCCATTCCAGTACTTAGGATATTAGTACTATTGTCCTAAGTACTGCAATTAACTTAAATTAGCATATATAATTTCAAATTAATGTTTTTGTGGGGGGGGGGGAGGGAGATTACCTAGAAGAGGGATAGCTGGGTTAAAAGGATGCTCTATTATTACTTTTTTGGAAAAAAACCATATTGTTTTCCATAGAGTCTGGACCATAGGACATTCCCACTGAAAGTGAATGAGGATTCCTTTATTGCCTCCCCATTACCCCCACCTCCTCCCCCCACACCACCACTTGTTTTACCAATAGTTGTTTCTAGAAAGTAACAGCTCAGAGGCCTAAAAAGGCATATCGGTGGCAATTCAATATTAGTTGGAGACTTTAAAAGCCTACACTCATTATTCGACAGATAAACCAGACATAAAATCAGTAAGAAAACAAGAATCCTAAACAAAGATCGGAACAACTGAGATTGATACCGCCCATGCTCAAATTGTTGAGCACACATTCTTCTCTAGTGCATATGTAACACTTTCCAGGACAGACCATATGCTTGGGTATAATTTAAATAGCACTGTAGTACTGTCCTCCCGTTGTTCGATTTGCTCAAGCAGGCCCAGTAATGTACCCATTGTGAGACTTGTTGTTTCTGTGGCTGGCATATCACGGGTAGCTTGCCAGGCTATGCTGTGCAGGCGAAATACTCTCAGTAGCTTGCCAGGCTCTCTGAGAGGGGTGGAGGTATCGAACCTGGCTTGCACAGGCCAGTAGTTTGCAAGGCAAACAACCTACCGCTGTGCTATTGCTCCAGCCCACAAGTTAAATATCCATAACATTTCAAAAATATAGATCATATTAAGTAGCTTCTCAGACCACACTTCCAATAAGGTAGAATTAAACCATAAAAGAAAACTGGGGAAAGGTTCCAACATTTGGAAACTGAACAACTGGATTAAAGAGAAAAATCAAAGAAGAAATGAAAAAAAAAATCCTTCAAATGGACAATAATGAAGACACAAACTATCAGAATCGTTTAATATTTTTATTTTTTGTTTTTATTTCTTTTTCTCTGTGATACAGAAAAAGCAGTACTAAGTAAGGTGTTTATAGCAATACAAGGCCCATATCAGGAAGAAACAAAAACTGAAGCCAATGACCTAACCATAAAACTGGAGAAATTAGGTAAAAGAAACAGCAAATAAAAACCATAATGCCAAAAGAAAAGAAAGAGAAAGAGAGCAAGAGTGAGAGCAAGAGAAGAAAAGTGTCTGCCATAGAGGCTGGATGGAGGGAGTGTGTGGTGGTGGGAGGGAAACTGGGGACATTGGTGGTGGATAATGTACACTGGTGAAGGGAAGGTTGATGGAACATTGTATGACTGAAAACCAGTTGTGGAAAAACTTTGTAATTGTGTATCTCATGGTGATTCAATTTTAAAAAAAACCCTAAAAGAACAGCAAATAAATCCCAGTCAGTAAAAGGAAGTGAATTATAAAACTTAGAGCAAAGGGTCACGGTCATGGTCCTCCCATTGTTTATCGATTTGCTCGAAGGGCCCAGTAATATCTCCATCGTGAGACTTCTTGTTACTGTGTTTGGCATATTGAATACATCACGGGTAGCTTGTCAGGCTTTGCCGTGCAGGCCAGATACTCTCGGTAACTTGCTGGGCTCTCTGAGAGGGGCAGAAGAATAGAACCTGGCTCAGCTGGGCTGGCTGCGTGCAAGGCAAATGCCCTACCACTGTGCTATTGCTCCAGACCAAACATTAATGATAAATAAATCAAGAAAATAATACAAACAGTCACTAGAACCACAATACAGATTTTCAAAAAGAATAAAACTGAGATCTCCAAGCCTGTTCGGTTTGGGACTGGGCCTCCTCCACCCAGCTCGCCCACCTTCCAGTAGCTAGACAGTTACACCCACCAACTGCCGTGTAACCCCATCAACAGCCAGGATTCAGAGACTCTAAAACCAAGCTTCTGGAAGAGAACAAGGCAGAGTCTCCTGTCCCCACACCTGGCTGTCCTCACCGGGGTTCGTTGGAGCAGGGCGGATTGAGTTTCCCTCTCCGTCCTGAGCAGAGCCCCGACAGCTGAAGACCTCTGGGACCCAGCCAAAGCCATGCTGAGACCACTCTCCACACGCTTGGATGAGGAACCGGCAGAGGAGCCCAGGTGTGCTGGTCCCGGGGCTGAGATCTCCAAGCCTGCTCGGTTCGGGACTGGGCCTCCTCCACCCAGCTCTCCCACCTTCCAGTAGCTAGACAGTTATACCCACCAACTGCCGCATAACCCCATCAATGGCCAGGATCCAGAGACTCTAAAACCAAGCTCCCAGAAGCATGCAGATGCATTTGCGGCCTCACGACCCCTTTTTCTCTAGTTCTCACTCTCAGAGAACCCCGTAGGCTACTGAGAGTATCTTACCTGCCTATATGCCTGACTAGGAACACCTGTAAAGGTGATTAGAGGCTGTCCCAAAAGCTTCCATCCCTCTCGGGGAGCCCGGCAAGCTACCGAGAGTATCCTGCCCACACAGCAGAGCCTGACAAGCTAACCGTCATGTACTCGATATGTCAAAAACAGTAACAATGAATGGTCCTCATTCCCCTGATACTGAAGGAGCCCCCAATATGTCATCGGGCTACACTATCACGTGACAGGGATGAATGGAGATGTTACTGGGCCCGCTCGAGCGAATCAGTGAACAACAGAGTGATAGTGATAGTGACCCCATGGCAAGACTCTCAGGGTAAAAAGAGAGAAAAGCCAAAATAAATTGCATCATAGATAAAAGAGAAGAGATTACAATAAATGCCTCAGAAATACAAAAGATCATAAAAGGTTACTGTAAACACCACCATGAAACTTAGCTGCAGAACCTAGAAAAAAAATGGATGAATTCACAGAATCATATATTATCCCAGAATTGGCAGGGATGTGAAAAAAAGAATGCTTAATCACTGTTGGTGATAATATAAATGAAAAACAGTACAGAAATTTTTGGAAGAGAAATGAGCTTTCATATGACCCAATGATTCCACTTCTTTCATCTATCCCCTAAATCTAAAAACAGTAATTTGATAATATATATACATGCCCATGTTCGCAAGTACTTAGTGAAATTACCAGGGTATGGAACAACACAAATATACATTGAGAGATGCATCAATAAGGATGAATAAATATGTACACAATGGAATCCTATGCAGCTGTGAGAAAAGACAACCATGAAGTTTGCAGCAAACACAAATGGAATTAATGGCGAGTGTCACATTAAGTGAAACAAGTCATGAGGAGGGGCAAATATCAGATGATCTCATTCATCAGAGACAAAATAAGGTAATATATAGAATCTAATGACAAATAACAAATCCTTGTCCCTGTTTTATGAGAAATGATAATAGCAAGTTCAAAGGAGAGTGAGTGGAGAAAGTACTATGAGGGGATGAAAGGAAGATTAGAAAGAACATTAGGACAGTAGCAGAGGGTACTGGTCACTTATAGTGGTGATAAGGCAACGTGACAATTTACATACAAATTAGAAATATTATCACTATTGTAAAATATGTAACATAAACGATAATAACTAATTTTTAAATAAACACAAAAACATAAATAAAAGAAGCTTTGGTTATAGTTTATGAAGGCATGAATAAACCTGATTTCTAGAATGACCACTGCTTTTGAACGCCTATATTCTCTAGAATGGAAATCAAATGAAGAGAATTTCTTACATAAAGCCCAGTGATAGCAATAAGTGCATTTCTTTAAATGACTATTATTTTCAATGCAGAGGTAGGGCAGGAAAGAAACTGCCTTAGCTAGAATTCAACACAGTGTGTTTTGTCTATTATGACTAAACAATTTACCTGAGGTCAGAGAATTCTAAGTTTTCAGAACAAATATGCTGGTAAATAATGCAGCACAAAGAGTACAAGTCATCCTTCCCTAGTGAAATTTATCTCTGCTGACATTTGAAGTCTGGCATACTAGAGTTGCCTCATTGCATTGTGGTTCTTGGTGCCTGGTTAAAAGCTGAGTTGTAGGCTGTGAAAACTAGGTGACAAATATGGTAGACATCTACTCAAATGCAGACACCATCGAAATTCCATTTGTTCTAGTGGACTAATAGCTCTACAGATAGAGTTTGACCTTTTATTCCTATAGTATTTATCTGGGATGCTGATGATTTGCTTACTGGTAGCCCTAGCATTGCAAAAAAGAGTCTCTGTGGTTGGGAATATACAACAAATTTTGATTTTCTTTCATACTTAGCCAATCTACTTCTACAACCTATCCCACATTTTTCTAGTGCCTAAAGGGCTATTGCATGAGTCTACGTTGTATTTCAGTAATAAGTCAATATAAACTAGCTGTGATGATGAGAAGGGTAGCGAGATTTGAACAGTGTCTTGCTTTATGTCAAGAAATAGACAGAGTAAACAGACCAGTAACATTAGATGATCAGTCTGTGAAAGTCAATATTCTGGGCATATCATATAAATTGTCCTATTTAATACTCAACTACCTGGGGAAGCAACCTGTGTCAGCAACCTCAGTTTAGAGTCTCAAATAAATTCATAGAATTTTTGTGAGGTCCCAAAGGGCAGAGGTCAGTTCCTATCTAGCATTTAATTCTTCATGTAGGTGTCACATGTCTGGAATATAGTAGGTGCTGAATTTGTGTTTTGAATATTAACTAGACTATGAAAGAATAGAAAAAAGGAGGCACCCCTTAGTGTAAACAAAAAAATATGATGGTGGTGAAAAATTTTTATTAAATACTGTGCTTTTGCATACACTTATTCTATTTCTCTGGGTACTTCATAACTTTGTATGCCATGTTCTCTCAAGCTAGTTTAGGGAAGTACCCAGTAAAGGCACTTAGATTTTTCATCTTTGTAACTCTCATTACCTACTAGCTCACAGAATAATTATTTTTATGAGAAAATGATTACTTTTCCAATTAATGCAGGATGCATATGGACATGACTGGCAATCTTCTCTGATATACCATATTTAATTCAGTTGTTTCAATTAATTTTGTTTGTCTTTACTAAGTGTTATTTCTCATCAAATTCAGTAATTTCATATTCCCTGTATATGCTTGTATATTTCACCTTAGGTGATAGACTGAAACATAGAGGACAGAACTCTGATCTCTAGTTTCCAAAGTAAAAACAATGTCATCATTGTAGTGAGCCAGTATAAAATATTGCTAATTATTAGGGTAGTGATATTGTGTAAAGATAATATATATTTATCTCCCTTCTTATGCATTTATTTATTTAATTTAAATAATCTTTTACTAATGTTACTTACCTTTTGGGGATTGATACATGTATTTGCACTGTCACTAGGCTTAACGGTAAAAAGAACAACACCTGTTTTATTATATCTAGGAGGAAGAACAAATTTAGGTTATTGCAGAAGTAAAATAAAGGGCAGGCATGATACTAAATTTCTGTCTAGAAGATAAAAGGTAAAGGTAAAGGCCCTCCCGTTGATCATCGATTTGCTCGAGCGGGCCCAGTAACGTCTCCATTGGAGACTTTGTTGTTACTGTGTTTGGCATATCGAATACGTCACAGGGAGCTTGCCAGGCTCTGCCATGCAGGCAAGATACAACTCGGTAGCTTGCCGGTCTCTCCGAGAGGGGCGGAGGAATCGAACTCGGGTTGGCCATGTTGGCTGCGTGCAAGGCAAATGTCCTACCACTGTGCTATCGCTCCAGCCCGTCAATATGGTCTAGAAGATAAGTCCCATATTATGCAATATAATTGACTGGTATCCTCCTGAGGAGTTCTAGGAACCTGTGGGTTGTGATTTCACTGTTTCTGCTATGACCAGCTACGCACTGTGTTAATACTTTAAAGGCACTTTTACCTACTAGTGAGTGTTTTGGTCAGCATAGGAGTCAGAACAATGGGAAACAGAAACGAGCATTTATCAGTATTTTAACTACTCTGTTTTGATATTCACAGATTTCAGCTCCTCTGCTGACATCAGATCCTGTTTCCTGATGTTACATTCTATAGCTCTATTTCTTTAGTTCCTTCTCCAGCCACTGCATTTCTCCCTACAACTGTGAAAACCTTTGGAACAATAAAGAGTAACTTAAAAAGTTAGATGCCTGGACATGTATGATCTGGCTGGAATCAAAAGGATGATCAGATGAAATGCTCTTTTAGATTATGAAGGGTGCATGAATACTCATTTCGTGCTCAGATAAAGTGGAAGAGTTCAAAAGCAGAAAAGCTAAATATGTTTTATATATTTTATGATATAGAATCTAATACACGAGGATAAAAATATCTTTTAAAGATCTAAATCATTTTCCTATATTCCACCAATTCTAATAGATTTTTTTCTTTTTCCTCTAAAAATATTAGAAAGCATATTATAACTATACTATACTAATAGTATATATTAGTACATATACTAATATGGAACTCTGCAATTTCATGGAATTTTTTATTTGATAAATTTAGTAGTATAATAGAGATCTGTAAAAGATGATGAAGTAGGTTGTATCAATTTATGTACAATTTTTCTTATATTTTTAATAACGTTTCAAAGATTTCAGTAATTATTTTTAACCATCAGGTTGGCCTAAGGTATACTAGACAATTTTATATGCATTTTTAAAAATTCTGAATAAATATTTTCTGGCCTTTTCCCTACCCATCCCCCGCCCCAAACCCTATGAAGAATTGCAAACACACAGCACCAGAATTGAGAGGAAGATCTATGGGTGAGGTATGAAAAGGGATAAACAAACAGTGCCCCCCTTTGGATCTGGACCACAACTTGAGGTGCTCAGGGCTTATTCCTGACTTTACACTCAGGGATCATGTCTGATGTTGGACTTGAGGCATCATATGGAATGCCAGGAATTGAACCTAGACTGGCTGTGTGCAAGGCAAATACCCTACCTGCTGAACTATCACTCCAGCCCCAACCATCCCCAAAAATATGTGTAGTCAGAGAAAATAAATAGAAACAAAATAATTACAAACATTTAAAATGGGTCATTATGAGAACAAAGAAATAAACGGTAGAGAGTGAAAAAATAAGAAGAAAATGGGTTTTTTTTGAAACGACAAGGAGGCTCTTTTAAATTTTTTTTCCAGAAAATATTTAGCCAGGACATAAAGCACATAAGTACATTATGACATACTCTCCCTCAGGAAATTAAGTGGTTAGGTGCTATATTAATATGAGACAAAGATGGGTGTTTATCTGATTCTACTTATACTGAAGACTCCCTGGGAAGTACAGTTCAAGTTTTTCTTAAAGACAGTATGCAGAAATTTGGGGATGAGATTAAATGATGAAATGTGTTGTAAATAACTGAACTGAGATAAAGTATTTCATTCTTGTATGCTCAGACAAGTGAAAACCTTCAAAGATATCATGCTCCCACTTAATTATAAGTTACTTTTCATATTCATATATATAAAGGAATTAGAAACCTGTATATTTAAAAGGGTATGAATCCACTTAAATAAAACGTTATAAATAAATGACATCAATTTAATTGGTACATTTAATTTTAAGTGATAACTTACTGTAATTTGAAGTAATCATTTACACCCTCAAAATTTTCATGCTGATAAAATTCAATTTCCTGAAAAATAAAATTTAAAAGTTTCGTGTCAAATGGGGAAATTGAAAATAAAGACAAGATAGTTTAAATTTCTTGAAACTACTTTTAAGGTAGTTTAAATCTCCTTAGACAATAAAGATACTGCATCTAGTGTGGAAAATTGTTTCCCTAACAAAAAATCCCAAGGTTGAGATAGTCCAGTGGGAAAACCAGTTTAGAGCTTAGACTATAAAGGGTTACAAGTGTACACCTATGGGACAAAAAATAGAGTAGATAACAAATATATGACTGCTGCAAACCTGCACCCAGGAAATAACAGAATAAAATATTTTAAGGCCTTCTAGATGTGTAGGGCAATAAGGGAAAAACTGGACTCATGTTCTTCATAGAAAATGTTTGGTTTCATTGATCTTTGGGATTGTCTTGGGGGCTTCTTTGTCATTAATTTCTGCTCTAAGTGTTATTACTTCCTTAGAAATAATAGAATATTATTATTATTTCCTTAGAAATAATAGAATTTTAAAAATAATTTTTAAAAATCCTGTTCACAACAGTACCTCAGAAAATCAAGTACCTCGGAATCAGCTTAACCAAAGAGGTGAAACACTTCTTCAAGAAATAAAGGAGGGTTTCCTCCAGGCAGCAAGATGGCAGCTGCCTTGGAGCTTTTTGAAAGCCAGGTATGAGCCGGTGGTGACAGGGTGACTGCAACCTCATGGGAAGGGGGGCGTTCCCGGCTCGTCCTTCACACCCTACTAAGGTCATGAGTTGCCCCCCATGAGTGGCTCTCCAGCACAGCCATGGCTACAGAGCCACAGAAACCAATCTCGTAATTATCTGGCTCTTGGCAGAAATCCCTCCAGACTTAGTAAGTAAAATATCAGAAATACAAAATCACAACATCATATGGTTTCCATAACCAGCTGTAGAAAACAAATTATTTCACAATGCCTTTTCAGCAGTTCTGATTGTTGGGTGTAAACTCTAAACAATAATGGTGCATCTTTTGTCGAAATAATGAATGTAATCAAAGTAGATAGTTAAGTAGAATTCATCTTCCTTGCAGGCACTGGGAGGGGTGGGAGGGGGTATATTGGGGTTCTTGGTGGTGAAAAATAAGAACTGGTGAAGGGAAAGGTGTTTGATCATTGCATGATCGAGACTTAAACCAGAAAGCTTTGTAACTTCCCACATTGATTCAATAAATAAATATTTTAAAAAAAGAAATAAAAGAGGACACTAGGAAATGGAGACACATCCCCTGCTAGTGGATAGGGAGGATTAACATTATTAAAATGGCAATACACCCAAAGCACTATACAGATTTAATGCGATCCCTATCAGGATACCCATGATATTTTTCAGAGAAGTAGGCAAAACATTCCCGAAATTCATATGGAACAATAAATCCCCAAGAATAACTAACACAATCCTAGCAAAAAAGAAGATGGGTGGCATCACCTTCCCCAACTTCAAACTGTACTACAAAGCACTAGTAATTTAAACAGCATGGTATTGGACTAGACACAGACACACAGACAAATGGAATGGAGTTGAATATTCTGTCACAGGCTCTCGTTTATCTCATTTATATGATCGTTTAATATTTGATAAAGGAACAAGAAATTTGAACTGGAACAAGCACTTCTCTTCAACAAGTGGTGCTGGGAAAACTGGCCAGCTACCTCCAGAAAAATGAACTCTGACGTCTGTCTAATGCCAGGCAAAAAAGTCAGATCAAAGTGGATTAAAGACCTCAATATCAGACATGAATCCATAAGCATAGAGGAAATGTAGGCAGAACTCTCCAGGACACTGAAGCTAAATCATCTTTAAGGATGAAAGAGCACTGACCATGCAAGTGGAAAACAAACATAAACAAATGGGACTACATTAAACTTAGAAGCTTCTGCAACTCAAAAGAAACAGTGACCGAAATACAGAGAGCCCACGGAATGGGAAAGAATATTCAACCCATTACCTATATGATAAGGAATTAATATCCACGATATAAAAGATACTAGTAGAATTGTACAAGAAAAAACCTCCAATCCCATCAAAAAACTGGGAGAAGAAATGAACATAAGCTTCCTTAAAAAACAAAAAAAGGAAATACAAATGGCCAAAAGGCACATAAAAAAATGCAGCCCGGCAAGCTACCGAGAGTATTCGATATGCCAGACACAGTAACAACAAAGTCTCCAATGGAGACGTTACTGGGCCCGCTCGAGCAAATCGACGATCAACGGGAGGGCCTTTACCTTTTACCTTTACATCACTCATTATCAGGGAGATGCAAATCAAAACAACAATGAGATATCATCTCACACCATAGAGCAGCAGCACACAATCAAAATCACAAAAGCAACCAGTGTTGGAGTGGGTGTGGGGAGAAAGGAATGCTCTATCACTGTTAGTGGGAATGCCGACTTGTTCGGCCTTTTTGGACATTATGGACATTCCTTCAAAAACTAGAAATTGAGCGTCCATATGACCCAGAAATACCACTTATGGTAATATATCTCGAAGGTGCAAAAAAGCACAGTAGAAATGACATCTGCACTTGTACATTCATCGCAGCACTGTTCACAATAGCAAGAATCTGGAAACAACCTAAGTACCCGAGAACAGACATCTGGTTAAAGAAACTTTGGTACATCTACACAATGGAATACTATGCAGCTTCTAGGAAAGATGAAGTCATGAAATTTGCTTGTAAGTGGATGGTCATGGAGAATATCATGCTAAGTGAAATGAGTCAGAAAGAGAGGGACAGACATAGAAGGACTGTACTCATTTGTGAAATTTAAAATAACATAATATGAAACTGACACCCAAGGACTTTAGATACATGGGCCAGGAATATTGCTCCATATCTCTAAGTCTGTCTCATAAACTGGGGGAAAAGACAGCGGAATAGAGAAGGGATCATTAAATCAATGATGGTTGGAGGAATTGTTTGAGATAGGAGATGTGTGCTGAAAGTAGTTAAAGGATAAAACGTGATAGCCTCTTAGTATCTATATTCCAAACCATAATGCCCAAAAGTAGAAAGAGAGAGAGTATGGGGAAAATTGTCTGCCATAGAGGCAGAGGGAGGGATTGGAAGGGGGATAATGGGGACATTAGTGGTGGAAAATGTGCACTGGTGAAGGAATGGATATTCTATCATTGTGTGACATGCCAATAACAAAACTGAGGTGATCGAGTGATGGTGGAAGGAGGCATGACTATAAGTGACATAAGGGTAGTGGTAAAGGGCTGTCATTTTGATAGTGGAAGTAGTGCAACAAAATTATATAATTTTGGTAAACTAAAATCATAACATTAGTGTAAACCATATTACTTCAATAATAATAAAAGAACTTGCTCAGTGTCACCATCTAGTAAATGAAAATATTTTACTAAACTTTCTCAGTGTCACCATCTAGTAAATGAAAATATTTTACTAAAGCATGCAAAATTTGATGTCACTACTCTTGGTGATTTGAGTATTTTTAAAGAAATCCTATGATAGTGCATACATCTGCTGGGACTGGATGATCAAAGAAAATTCGCGTGGGGTGAAGAAAAGCATAAATCTGTCTGTCCTGAAGATGATCTTATCAATTTCAGAAAAATAAGTTAAATATGCTGTCTCATTTTATTTATTGTATTTTACTGTTTATAGAAATAGTAATAGTAAGAAAGTAGTTGACACCATACTTGTTTTAGACATGTTTTTAGATAGCCCTGTAAAATGAATAAAGTTTCATTATTATTTTTTGCTTGTGATGTTTGTAGGTGTCTGTAATTTTCTTATGTTATTCCAACAAGTCTCAGGTAGTTTCTCACAACTATTTTTCACTCAATAATATGTTTTAAGCTACCTATGTGGCCACTTGCAAACCTAGATTAGCTCTATTTGTCATCAAACCTCCTGATGAAGGTTTGCATTGTATTTATGAAATTAAATGACATATTGTGGACTAATAAGCTATTAAAGAGAACGAAGAGTTGATTTACTCCTTCCCTGAGAACTGTAAATCATTTAGGAAAGTTTTAAACAAGTGACAAGTAAGGTAAGAGAAAAAAAAACTGGAAAAAAGCTGATCAAATCTCAAACCTTAGTTTTTCTGACATTGTCTTTAAAGCTTTTTTCTCCTACATTTAATTTACTAATTTAGGTTTTAGGAGCCACACCTACTGGTAATCAGGGCTAACTCCTGCTCTGCTCTCAGGGATCACTCCTGATGGGGCCTGGGAAACAGAACCATATTTGGTGCCAGGGATCGAACATGGGTCAGTTGCACACAAGGAAGGTTCTGTCCCCACTGTACTATCACTTCAGCTCATTTTTCCTTTGTTAAAGAAACTAAAAGGGAATTAAAAATGATGCATCATAAACACAGTTGTGTAAGAAGGAAATGGGTTGTTCCCAGTGGACCCTACAAGATTCACTTATACGTATTCCCCTAAAGTAAAAATATTTCAAATATATTAATATATAATGATTTTCTGATTTAATGATTTTGGAAATAACTGAAGCCATTTGTCAGTCATACTGAATAAATAGAAGAGGCTCTCTGTTGCATATGTTTAGGGAAACTGAGCTTAGAAAGATGAGGTATGGAATAGAATAAATATTATTTGAGACGGAACATAAGTAACATATAAAACACTTATGCTATTATACTAGTTGTAAGGCATATAAATTAATACACAAATTTCATTTGTATTTAATGTATCCATTGCTTGCAAGTTACTGGTTTTGACATATCGAATACTACAACTGGTTTCATTCACCTGACCCTGAAGGCTTCACCGACATGGCAGCACTGAGGATGAGAAAGGAGAGGCCGATAAAATCTCAAGGCCGAACTAGGCTGCCACAACGAAGGAAGACAAAAGTGATCGTCTGTACTTTCAATGCACGTACGCTAGCATCAGATGCATCCATCGAGGACCTGATGATACAAGCGCGAATGATCAAGTACGACATCATTGGTCTGACCGAGACAAGAAGGCACGAATCTCACCATGCCGTTTTCGACACTGGAGAAGAATTGTTCCTCGGAACATGCGATAAAAGAGGTGTCGGAGGCGTCAGTGTCCTTGTCAACACAAACTTGGCCATGAGCATTGATTCATTAGAATGCCTAACAACCCGAACCGGACATTTACATTTGAATAGATGTGGCTCACTGCCTGCAGTTTCTATCTTAGCTGTCTACGCACCAACATCTCATTATGATAAAGGAGAAATTGAGAAGTTCTACATGGAGCTGGAGAAGTTCTATAAAGAAGACCACATCTGCTACAAGATCATTGTGGGTGATTTTAATGCCAAGATAGGACCGAGAAGATCAGCTGAAGAACTTCACATCGGAACCCATGGCCTAGAATGGAACGAACAGGGTGAGAGACTGTCTGAATTCATCATGTTGACTAAGACCATTCATGGTAACTCACAGTTCCAGAAGGCAGAATCTAAACGATGGACATGGGAGTCTCCTGGTGGACGATTCCACAATGAAATAGATCACATCATATTCAATCAATGGTTTTGCCTGACTGATGTCGCAGTTGTCCCAAAATTCCAAACGGGATCGGACCACCATCTCCTTCGTGCAAAATTCTACTTCACAGAGCGGGGAGAAAGGGCTGCAAAGTTTAAAAAGAGAACTCCCAGAACGACCACCAACTGGGAACTCTTTGGCACTATTGCGGCAACATGGGAAGATGCCATTGTCGACAACATTGACGAGGAATACGATTGACTGGTACAGCACCTCCATGAATGTGCGAGAAACGCCAAGAGAGAGATAGCCACAAAAAAACACCTGTCTTCAAAAATTCTTGAGCTTATTCGCCAGCGTGGTTTGACGCATGCCTCAGGCAACCGCAAGCTAACATCCGAGCTTGCAAAGCAGTGCAGAGATGTGATCAAGGAAGACCTCAAAGAGAGAAGAGCAGAAGTGCTGGTAGATGCGGCAGAAGCTGGGAAAAGTATTCGTAATGCCCGCCTGTCCTTTGCCAACTACAAGACCAAGATGACTGCCCTCCGACGTCCTGATGGATCCATCACATCCTCCAGAACGGCAATGGAGAAGATTATCCATGACTTCTACTCAAATCTCTTCAATAGCCATGTCCACCTGCCGACATACCAAATTCCACGGGATGGATATGTCATTCCCAACGTTCTCCCTTCTGAAATCCGACATGCCATTTCGTCGGTAAAGAAACAAACAGCACCCGGCCCAGACAAGGTCAGACCTGAACACCTGAAAAACCTGCCATCAGTACTCATCAATACACTGGTTCAGCTCTTCACACGCTACCTGTCTGAATGCAAGGTTCCGTCCCAATGGAAAACCAGCAGGACCGTACTACTGTTCAAGAAGGGAGACATCCATGACATTGGCAACTATCACCCGATCTGCCTATTGTCTGTCATCTACAAGTTGTTCACTCGAGTCATCCTAAATAGGATTGGCAGAATACTAGATGAAGGACAACCATGCGAGCAAACCGGGTTCCAAAAAGGATTCAGCACAATCGACCATATCCACACGATAACCAATCTCATTGAGGTTTCTCGGGAGTTCAAGATGCCGCTCTGTTTAAGGTTCATTGATTTAAAGAAGGCCTTTGATTCTGTTGAGACAGAAGCGGTCATTGAAGCCCTAGCTGATCAGGGCATTCAAGCCCAATACATCAAGATCCTCTATGAGCTGTATTGTGGATTCACTACCCGGATCTCACCATTCTACAAAGAAGTAATCAGTGATGTCAAGAGAGGGGTTCGGCAGAGTGATACAATTTCACCGAAACTCTTCAGTGCCACCCTCGAGAACATCATGCGACGACTGGAATGGGAAGGAATGGGAGTGAAGATAGATGGTCGGCAACTACACCACCTCCGCTTTGCTGGTGACATTGTTTTAATAACACCAAACATCAGCCAAGCGGCACAAATGCTGGCCGACTTTGACCGTGAATGTGGAAAGGTAGGACTACAGCTGAATCTTACGAAGACAATGTTTATGAGAAACAGCCTCGTTCCTGATGCCCCATTCGCTCTCAACGGAATAACCATCTCCGAATGCAACAGCTCTGTGTACCTAGGTCGAGAAGACAACATGACAAATGACCTGGCACCTAAGCTGCGCAGGAGGAAGAGAGCGGCTTAGTACGCCTTCAAGAACGTCGAAGAAATAGCTAAGAGGACAAAGAACCTCCGGCTCCGGGCACATCTCTTTGATTCCACTGTTCTTCCTGCATTAACATATGCCTCAGAGACCTGGGCCCTACGCAAACAGGATGAGAACGCTATTCAGGTCTCCCAAAGAAGAATTGAAAGAGCTATGCTTGGAATATCACGTTTCACTCAAATGAGAGAAAGAATCTGGAGTTCTGACATCCATCGACGATCAAGAATCAGGGACGCTGTCTCATTTGCCAAGGTGTCAAAAATCAGATGGGCTGGTCACATAATGAGATTTAAAGACGACCACTGGACTAGAGCTGTTACCGACTGGATTCCACGGGATGTCAAAAGACCGAATGGCCGCCCACCTACCAGATGGTCAGACTTCTTCATCAAGATCATGAACAATCAGTTTGAGGTTCTTCATGTTCCCGGAGCGAACAGATGCCATTGGGCTCCACTAGCACGCGACAGGGACAAATGGAGACGTTACTGGTGCTCGCTCGAGCAAATCGACGACTAACGGGAAGTTAAGTGATTAAGTGAAATGATTGCTTGCAAAGATGGCTACACTATTTCCTCCTATTACTATACTGTAAATTTCCTTTACAATATAATCTTACTGTTCTTCCATTAAAGGGTAGAATCTATTTCTACATCCTGTTTGTTTGTGTTGGCCTTGTAGATTACTTTAAGGATGATAACGTGTACAAATCTCGGCCTATAGTTTTCGTGGGTCTTATTCTAACCATCTTGAAACAGTACTGACAGGCTTTGATTTGAAGAAACAAGGATGGCTTTTAGGACAGAGGCCATATGAAACAAGAGTGATCCTTTTTAAGCCTAAGAAATCTGTCTGCACCAAGTATTTGACTTGTGGATGAGGCCACCTGAGATTTACTAGATAACCATGACCTCTTAAATAAACATGATGAAACAAGCAAAAACTGTCCAACTATTCACAACCCAAATCACTAATACAATTTGTTGTTATTGGAAGATATTATATTATACTGTCACTGTCCTCCTGTTGTTGATAGATTTGCACGAGCAAGCCCAGTAACATCGTGAGACTTGTTGTTACTGTGTTTGGCATATCCAATATGCCATGGGGAGCTTGCCAGGCTCTGCCGTGCGGGCGATATAATAGATATATGAACTCTACAGAAAATTCAAAAAAAGTAAATATATCTCTGACTCTCTCTCTGTCTCTCTCTCTCTCTCTCTCTCTCTCTCTCTCTCTCTCTCTCTCTTCTCCTTTCTGAAAAGAAAAGTGAATACATAACGAACAATCAAAGAGTTCTGCACGAGTACTTTTAGGGGGAAATAGACCTTAAATATCTTTTTTCTTTTGAAAATAAAAGTAAATTGTAAGGTTTTTTTTTTGGTATTTATTCTATTTTTGCTACCAAGATTCTCAATTATACAATACTGTCAATGGTAGTGCATTCCATCACCACACCTGTCACCAGATCATCAACATCACATTTGCCACCTGTCATAAGGATCAATCTCTGGGCTCTCAATTAAGACCTGAAATATTAAAAGGAAAGAGTATGGTCCAGATATATGGATTATCATATTAGCTTTTAAACTTTTAGATTTTTTAATATTCCTCAAGCTAAAGCTATAATGGAAACATTTTAAAAGCATTTTACATTAAAATCAAATGAAAATTTATAATATCAATTAGAAATTGATAGGGGGCACACTGGTTACAGGTGTGGCACTGTGTGAGCATAAGATCAACTTAATAGCATTGTAAATCACAGAATTTCAACTAAAAAAAATTTACCTTAGATTTATAGCTTTGTCCTAAGGAAGATTCATAGCTATTCTTTTCTCTTCTTTCTAAAATGTCTGGTCCATAAGATTCCATAAGAATATCCATGCCAATGTCTTCTGGATATTGTAGTTCAACCAAAAAGGACAGATTCTGTCCCTTATCTAAAATATAGGTGTTCCTAAGAACGTTATCCTGAAATTCAATGTAGGGGCACATATCTCTATTTCTGGCAGCTACACTATCTACCTCCAGTTGCAAAGGATAAGTTTCAGTATATATATTTCCAATTTTTGAAACATGTATGAAATATGTTTGACCAGTTGGGAACATTGCAATTATGCATTTTGTTGTGCTATTGGTCCAGGAATGTAGCTTTAGTATCTGATTAATATTAATCTTGAAAAGAAACATGGCATTGTTTTCCAATTTTACAATGAAGTTTCCCAAATAATCTGGAAAAAAGAGAGAAACATTTGTTTTATTTTAAGTAACCACACCTTAACACTGCTTCATATCAGCTTACTTTAAATAAACAATAATTTTATAATGACTTAATACTTATATACTTTGAAAATTACTGTGTATAAGTACAAACCTACAACTCAGCACAGTATTAAGAGAATATCTCCTTCACTTCACAGTTAAGCAGCAGTTTTTTCTTTGCTTTCTCTTCATGTTCACTATCATTTCATTTACATAAATTTTTTTTAAAAGTTTGGTTTAGTGTAGAAAATAATGAGCCTGACAGGAATGGCATTGTGAAGAAAGAAGCACTATGTTATAGACTGAATTGTGTTCTCTGCAAAAAGTACACAAGCTGACGCTGTAATTCTCACTGTGATTGTATAAGGAGACAAAATCTACATTCTTATACTTAATATTTATAGGTGAGTTTGCAGAGATTGGACTCTAATTCCAAAGGAAGTAGTGACATCAGAAATTACTTTCTGTCTGCAAGTACATAGAGGAGAGTTCATGTGAGGACACAACAAGAAGGTGGAGACAGTCCTCCTCAGAAACCAAAATTCTGATATACTTATCTTGAACTTAAGAGTTTTTTGAACAATGAAAATTAATTACTGTTGTTTGAGACCTCTATCGATTGTTATAGCTGCCTTCTTAGACTAATACCATTAGGATAAGCAAATATGTAAGGCTAGGGGAAGGCCCCTCTTCAAAATCACTCGGTAAATATTAACTTTCTCTCCTTAACAGAGTACTATGTTTAAATCACAGTTTCATAGGTGTTAGAGTTCTTGCTGATTTAACTCCTTGGCCCATCTGGATTGGATGATCTTCTGAGGAGATCTCCAGAACAAAATGCCATGCAGGATAATGAGTCCCACTGGCACCCAGTCCAGATGATGGTGTGGTACTGTTATCAGAGGACCTGACATTTCCTAGAAATCACAGATTGACTAACAATGGCTGGGCTTGGAATGGGATATCTCACTCTATGGGCCACCAGGCTTCATTGATTTAGCAGACAGGGTTTTTCCTTTTTTCTTAAAGACATTTTTTAATTAAAAAGCCATGATTAACAAAGATACTGATAGTTGAGTTTTAGGCATACAATAATTCAACACCCATCCCTCCACCAGTGTCCACTTCCCTCCACCAGTGTTTCCAGTTTCCTTCCCCATCCCAAGACCCACTCCACCCCCATCTGTCAACTTGACAAGCATTACAAATTTCCAGAAGTTGCCACTTAGACCTCATATTTCAGTTCTGTTGAATCTGTTTTGGATGTATGAATATATATCCTGCATTTATATCACTGGTATAATTGAAACCCTGATACCTGTTGACTCATTACTTTTCATTATCTTCTCCTTGATTTCTTGCCTTTTCTGTCTGTCTCCACTAGGGTCAAGGATGATAGAATCATCTCCCTTTTACTACAGTCTCCCTTTTCCTCATCAGTAGTCTATATTCCACAGAAAATTGATATTATCCTGTGTTTGTTATTCCCAGTTAAAAGTTCACGCCTGAGTCTACAAGCTACCGGGGCTGGAGCGATAGCATAGGGGGTAGGGCGTTTGCCTTGCACACGGCCATCCTGGGTTTGATTCCCAGCATCCCATATGGTCCCCTGAGCACCTCCTGGAGTTATTCCTGAGTGCAGAGCCAGGAGTTATCCCTGTGCATTCACCGGGTGTGACCCAAAAAGCGAGAAAAAAAAAAAAGTCTACAAGTTACTAACCCCAGACCAGGAGGCGGGAACAGTCTTCCCTCATCCCTGCAGGACAGTTAACACGTAGGTGATATATTTCTTTGGTTCTGTTGCCATATAGGGATAATTCAGGTATACTTTATTTCATAATAAACACCAGTATTTACTCTTCCCTCTGCTCACTGAAAATATCATTATGAAAATACATACGGTGAGTTGCTTAATCTGTCTCTGTAGATTTAACAAATGGTGACTCTGTAAAAAGGGCTTGAATTTCCCATTTTGCTATAGCTTATCATTACTGTTAGTAGAATTAAAAACCTATCCATTTTCAGATGTGAAAAGTGTACTTGCTGTCAGAGTTATCATACATTAGCATATTTTAAATGGTTATGCATTCATTACAAAGAAAAATGTCTCTTGTGAAATACAAAGGGTTTTTTATTTCTTCAGAATGAGAATGTCTTACCTATGAAAACTTGATGAATAATTTGATCCTTGATAGGTATCTGTAAATGCCCCTTATTGGCAAAGTTGTTATAACAATAGATTATTCTAGTTTTGTCATTGAGTACAAATTCTGGTGTTCCTGAAAAGGCAAAATGCATACTGAAAAAAGTGCCAGGATATCCTGTTAATTTAAATTCTTTGCTCAGGAACTCTTCTGTATCTTCATTAATTATTATAAAGTGGAGTGTTCTGGAGATGTGACACTGAGTGCAGGACTCCACTAACAAGGCAAGCTCCAAAGGATGTTCTGTATACTCAACAGTGTGTATATTTAGAGTAGCATATGGCACATGTAGAATTTGCCTCATATCATCTGTTTCTATTATTTTGTTAAATTTAAGGTGTTCATATCCAAGATAAAGTGCATCTTTTGTCCAAACTGCTATGTAGCTTATTTGGTCTTTAACCTGTGGAGAAATAAAAAGTTAGAAAATCTTTGATTTTAGATACAGTCTTAATAATTCCTGTCATTTAGTTTGCTTACACTTAAAGCAAAAACTTAGTAATTACAAGGTTGAAATTTTTGGTCTATTTTGAATAACAGTTTGGGCATAGAAATATAATACATAGAAATATTTGACATTTGACAAAATAATTCTCAGAATTTTGTTCTTTTATGTATTGTTTCTATCAGTAGAATTCATTCAGGAATTACTCCTGGCAGTCCTCAGGGGGATGCTGGGAGTCCAATCCAGGTCTGCTGCATGCAAGCCAAACACACTACCCACTATACTATCATCCCTCTGACTCCGGAAGTCATGCCCACAACATCTCCGTTTATACAAAGTGATCAATGGAAAGTAAATCATCCAACTTTTCTCCCTGAAAATCAGGCTTAACTCTTATACAAACCACAACACCCAATAGGAGAGAGAGAACAAAAAGGAATGCCCTGCCACAGAGACAGGGTGGGTTGGGGAGGGTCGGGGGGTCGGAGGGATACTGGGATCCGTGGTGGTGGGAAATGGTCACTGGTGGAGGGATGGGTATTCAAAATAAATAAATAAATTATAAAAAAATAAAAAATAAAATTAAAAAAATTTAAAAAATCAGAAGAGTAAAGCACACGGTAGTTTTATTACCGAGTATAGCACTATTACATTCAATGTTATAATTGAGATACTATCGCATCAACTTCATTACAACTTTAACAGTCTCTAAATTATTAGAAGGGCCAAGCAGAAAATTCACTGGGCAAAATGTGTACACTTTGCATGCTGGAAACCCATATTCAGCCCCAAGCACCACATGGTCTCCTGAGCACTGTGGGAATATTGAGAGGAGAGCTCCCAAGCACTGCTGCATGTGGTCAAAAAGCAAACAAAAAGTTCTTAGAAAATTGTTCTCCATAGTTCAGTAAAGTATAATAATTCAAATGAACGAATGGGAGAAAATCAGGAAAGAAAAGCTGATAGAAGACATATGTCAGTAAAAGAAGAAAGGAAAGATAGTTAAAAAAACTGGAATACATGCTTTGCATATGGTAATTTCCAGCACCACGTGGTCACTTTAACACCACAGGGCATAGCCCCTCGCACTGAGAAGAAACCCTTGAACACTGCCAGGCAAGGGACCCCAAATTAAATATTTTTTAAAATTTTATATATTAAATAATGGTCAGTGAATAAAGAATGATCACTATTGAAACTAAGTATATAAGTTCTTTCATGCCTTTGTGTATGTCTGATAACTTTTTTTCCATAGTTTTATTTATTTATTTATTTTTCGTCTTATATTTATTTATTGAATCACTGTGGGAAAATCTACTAAGCGTTCAGGTTTAATTCTCGGTCATACAATGATCAAACACCTTTCCCTTCACCAGTACTCACATTTCACCACCAAGAACCCCAATATACCCTCTCCCACTCAACCCAATGCCTGTGAGGCAGATGATTTCTACTTAACTCTTCTCTACATTAATTACATTCATCATTTAGACAAAAGATGCACCATTATTGTTTAGAATTCCCGCCCCCCTCCCCCCCCCCCCCCCCCCCCCGCTCCAACAATCAGAATTGCTGAAAAGGCATTGTGAAATACTTTGTTTTCTATAGCTGGTTCTGAGAATCCTATAATGTTGCTATTGTGGCCATGCAATTTTGGATTTCGGCAAAGAGCCAGATAATTTAGAGACTGGTTTCTGTGCATCTGATGTTATGGCTGTGCCGGAGAGCCGCTCATGACGGATAACTCAGCACTTCGGTAGGGCGTGAAGGACGAGCCGGTACCGCCCCCTTTCCCATGAGACTGCAGTTGCCCCGTCACTGCCGTCTCATACCTGGCTTTCCTATAAGCTCTGAGGCGGCTGCCACCTTGCTGCTGGTGGGGAGAAAGGCATAAGGGAGCAACACCCTTTCCCTCCCAGGGAGACATGGCTCCGTAGTTTAACATATGGTCCATACATTTTTCTGCCGCAAGCTGCCAGGCTCTGGATTAAGTCCTTTTGCCTTTGGAGCCATGGCCATGTATGCAGTCCAGATGCATTTCTGCCAAAAGCCACTGGGTTTCGAGACTTGTTTCTGAGTCTCTCGGATCATGGCCATTAATCAGCTTGATCAGGAGCCAGAGAGGCTGTTTGTAGGCCGTGACTCGAGGTCTTGCTGGGATAGGGAGGAAAGGGCCAGTTCCACCCCCATCTGGTGAGGCCCTGCGTGTCTCATCACTGCAGGCCCAAACCTAACTGTCCTGTGGCCTCTGGAGGATGATGGTCACCAGGCCGCCACGGGGAACAGGCCAAGGCACAAAACCTGTTCCCACCTGGAGTGGCCTTGCCCCAGTAACCTACTGCAGGAACAGGACACATTTCTGCCAAAAGCTTTTGGGTTCCAAGATTTGTTTCTGAGCCTCTGGGATCATGGCTGTTAAGTAGTTCTATCAGAGAGGCCATGCCTCCAATTATATAGCTGAGCTGGAGGTGGTTTGTGGGTGTGTCTCCCACATACCTAACTTTTGGTCATTTACTTTCTTGGTAAATTTTGCCCCAAGTTTTTGGGGTCTGGCCAAAGGTATAGCAGCAATTTTTGGGTATCTGAGAGCCTGACAGTGCCATCAGGCTGCTAATGCACTAGCCTCACAGGTACAGATTGACCTGCTGGCGGCACCATACCCCCGACATCTATCTCTTTTTCCCTTTCTCTGCACTCTGTTTCATTTCTTCTCCTCCCGCTACTCTGGGACCAAGGGCAATCTTAAGACTTCCCTCCTTTAAACCACTACATTTCCTCACCTAGTTACTCTAACTACCACATATAAATGATATCATTCTGTGTTTGTCCTTACTCTTCTGGCTCATTTCATTTAACACGGTCTCTTCCAGCTCCATCCATATTGCAGTAAATTGCATGATTTTATGATACCTTGCAGCTGCATAGTACTTCGTTGTACATATATATCACGTCTTCATGATCCACTTACCTGTTGTTGGACATCTTGGTTAATTCCAAATCTTAGCTACTGTACTGAGTTGTGCAATGAGTAATGGTGTGCGTGTATTCTTTTATAAGAATGTTTTTCTGTCCTGGGGGTAGATACCCAAAAGTGAAATTTCTAGGGTGCATGGTAGCTCAATTTTAAGTTCTCTGAGAATTTTTCATACTGTTTGCTAGAGGGGTTTAAATGGACAACATTCCTACAGCAGTGGATGATAGTTCCTCTTTCATCACATCTCTGCCAATTCGAATTATTCCCAGTATGAGAATCACGTAATATGCATGATTCTCACTGGTGTAAGATGGCATCTCATTGTTATCTTGATTTGAGTTCCCCTAGTAGTAAGTGATGGTGATGATTTTTTATGTGCCTCTTGTACATCTGTTGGTCTTACTCAGAGAAATCCTGGTTTATATCCTTTTTCCATTTTTTTTATTAGTGAAACACCATGAGGTACAGTTGTAGACTTACAAACTTTTGTGCTTGGGTTTCAGTTATACAATGATTGAGTAACTATCCCTCCACCAGTGCCCATTCTCCACCACCAATGATCCCAGTAGCGCTCCCACTTCCTCACCCCATCTTCCCCACCCCTGCCCGCCTTTGTAGTAGGGCATTCCCTTTTGCTCTCTCTTTACTTTAGGGTGTTGTGGTTTGCAATAGGGGTATTGAGTGGCCATCTTGTTCGGTCTATACCGAACGCATCTCACATCCCAAGCGGTTCTCCAAATGTCTGTTACTTGGTATTCCCGTCTCTATCTGAGCTACCTTTCCCCCCAGCATGTGCTGCTGGCTTCCAAGCTGTGGAGCAGACCTCTTGGTACTTATCTCAACTATTCTTGGATTTCTGTCTCCCATTCTGTTACTTTATATTCCCCAGATGAGTGCAGTCTTTCTATGTCTGTCCCTCTCTTTCTGGCTCATTTCACTTAGCATGATACTTCCCATGTAGTACCACTTGTATGTAAATTTCATGACTTCATCTTTTCCAAAAGCTGCATAGTATTCCATTGTGTAGGTGTACCAAAGTTTTTTTTTTTTAACTAGTCATCTGTTCTCGGGAACTCAGGTTTTTCCAAATTTTGGTTATTGTGAACAGTGCAGCAATGAACACACAAGTGCAGATGTCATTTCAACTATACTTCTTTGCCTCTCCGGGATATATTCCCAGGAGTGGTATTGCTGAGTCAAATGGGAGCGCAAATTCTAATTTTTTGAGGATCGTCCATACTGTTTTCCAAAAGGGTTGAACCAGTCGGCATTCACACCAGCAGTGGAGGAGGGCCCCTTCTCGCCACATCCGTGCCAACACCGGTTGCTTTTGTCCTTGTGGATGTGGGCCGGTCTCTGTGTGTGAGATGATAGCTAATTTTTGTTTTGATCTGCATCTCCCTGATGATTAGTGATGTAGAGAATTTTCTCATGTGTTTTTTAGCCATTCAGATTTCTTTTTTGGGAGAGTTTCTGTTCATTTCACTACCCCATTTTTTTATGGGGTTGGATGTTTTCTTCTTGTGGAGTTCAAGCAGTGCTTTGAATATCCTTGATATCAACCCCTTATAGGATGGGTTTTGGGTGAATATCTTTTTCCATTCTGTAGACTGTCTTTGTATTTTGGTCACTGTATCCTTTGAGGTGCAGAAGCTTCTTAGTTTAAGACAGTCCCATCTGTCTATCTCTGTTTTCACTTGCTTGGCCAGTGGCATATCATCTTTGAAGATACCGTTACCTTCAATGTTGTGAAGGGTTTTCCAACCTTGTCTTCAATGTACTGTATGGATTCTGGTCTGATGTTGAGGTCTTTAATCCATTTTGATCTTACTTTTGTACATGGTCTTAAGTAGAGATCTGAGTCCATTTTTTTTTTTGCATGTAGCTGTCCTGTTATGCCAGCACAATTTGTTAAAGAGGCTTTTCTTGTTCCACTTCACATTTCTTGCTGACTTATCAAAGATTATCTGATCATATATTTGGGAGGGGGGTATCAGTATATTCAACCCTGCTCCATTGGTCTGTGGCTCTGCCTTTGTTCCAGTACCACACTGTTTTTATTATTACTGCTTTGTAGTAGAGTTTGAGGTTGGGAATGTTGATTCCTCCCACTTTCTTTTTCGCAAGATTTGCTTTAGCTATTCGTGGAGGGTTATTGTTCCATATGAATTTCAGGAGTGTATGCTCCATTTCTTTGAAGAACATCATGGGTATCCTGATAGGGAACGCGTTGAATTTGTACAATGCTTTGAGGAGTATTGCCATTTTGACAATGTTAATTTTCCCAATCCATGAGCAGGGGATATTTTTCCATTTTCTCTTTTATTTCCTGAAGTAGTATTTTGTAGTTTTCTTTGTACAGGTCTTTTACATCCTTAGTTAGGCTGATTCCTCGGTACTTGATTTTCTGAGGCATGATTGTGAACAAGATTTTTTTTCATGTCACTTTCTTCTCTCTCATTTGCGTATAGGAAAGCCATGGACTTTTGGGTATTGATTTTATAGCCTGCAACTTTACTATACAAGTCTATTGTTTCTAGGAGTTTCTTGGTAGAGGATTTAGGGCTCTCTTAGTATCATATCATCTGTGAGTAGTGAGAGCTTGATTTCTTCCTTTCCTACCTGAATGCTCTTAATATCTTTTTCTTGTCTAACCGCTATTGCAAGTACTTCCAGTACTATATTGAACAGTAGTGGAGAGAGTGGGCATCTTTGTCTTAGAGGGAGGGCTTGATCTTAGAGGAAAGACTCTTAGTTTTTCCCCATTGAGGACGATGCTTGTCACAGGCTTGTGGTAGATGGCTTTAACTTAATATAAGTTAAACAATAAATAAAAAAATAAATAAAAGGTCCCTTCTATACTCATTTTGGCAAGGGTTTTCATCATAAACGGGTGCTGGATCTTGTCAAATGCTTTCTCTGCATCTATTGATATAATCATATGGTTTTATCTTTTTTCGTTAATACGATGGATTATGTCGATTGATTTCCGAATGTTAAACCATCCTTGCATCCCCAGGATGAATCCCACTTGGTCGTGGTGTATGATTTTTTGATTATTTGTTAAATTCTATTTGCTAATATTTTGTTGAGAATCTGCGCATCCGTGTTCATCAAGGATATCGGCGTATAGTTTTCTTTTTTTGTGGTGTCTTTGTTTCCTTTTGGCATTAGAGAGATGTAAGTTTCATAGAAACTGGGAGAGTTTCTGTTTTTTCAATTTCCTGGTAAAGCTTGAGGAGAACTGGCAACGTTAAATGTTTGGAAAAATTCACTAGTGAATCCATATGAACGTAGGCTTTTGTTTTGGGGAAGACTTTTGATTGCAGTTTCAATCTCCTTGATATTAACAGATCTATTCAGGTATTCCAGATCTTCTTGGTTCAACTTTGGGAGATTATAGGAATCCAGGAATTTATCCATTTCTTCCAAGTTCTCATTTCGTGGCATACAGACCTTCCAAGGAGTCTCTGATTGATCTGAATTTCTTTGTTTTTTGTTGTGATGTCCCCCTTTTCATTTCTGGTTCTGTTTATTAGAGTTCGCTCTCTCTCTCTTTGTGAGTTTCACTAGTGGTTTATCAATTTTGTTTATTTTCTTGAAGAACCAGCTCTTGGTTTCATTGATATTTCAGATTGTTTTTTGGGTATTCATGTCGTTGATTTCTGCTCTAAGTTTTATTATCTCTTTCCTTCTGCCTGATTTGGGCTCCTCTTGTTGGTCCTTTTCTAAGATTTTGAGCTGTGAAGTCAAGTTATTTATGTGGGTCCTTTCTTCCTTCCTTAGGAATGCTTGCAGAGCTACAAATTTTAACACGGCTTTAGCTGCGTCCCACAGATTCTGGTAGTTCATGTCTTCATTCTCATTTGTTTCCAGGTATCTTTTGATTTCTTCCTTTATTTCTTTCCTGACCCACTCGTTGTTCAACATTGAGATGTTTAGTTTCCAGGTATTCGATTTGGTTTTCTGAATCTATCTTCAGTGCATTGTAGTCTGAAAAGATAGTTGATACAATGTCTATCTTCCTGATTCTGTTGAGATATGCTTTGTAGCCAGGCACTTGGCCTATTCTGGAAAATGTTCCATGTGCAGTGGAAAAGAATGTATATTCTTTTTTGTGGGGATAGTCCTGTATAGATATATTAGCCCTCTCTCTTCTCTGTCTTCCTTTAGAGCCATTATTTCCTTGTTGAGTTTTAATATTCTTGATCTATCTAGAGGTCATAAGGTCGTGTTGAAGTCTCCAACTACTATTGTGTTGCTCGCAATGTCCTTCTTGAGGTCTGTTAGCAGTTGTTGTAGGTATTTGGCTAGTCCCTCATTGGGTGCGTAGATGTTTAAGAGTGTGATTTCTTCCTGTTGTATATATCTCTTGATTAATAAAAAATGGCCTTCACTCTCTCTTCTAATCTTTTCAACCTGAAATATATGTTTTCCGATACTAGTAAGGCCATCCCAGCTTTTTTGAGGGGGTTGTTTGAGGATTGTTTTCCATCCTTTGATTTTGAGTCTGTGTTTGTTCTGACTTTTCAGATGTGTTTCTTGTAGACAGCAGAATGCTGGGTTCTGTGTCTGAATCCATTTTGCCACTTTGTGTCTCTCTCTTGATTGGTGAATTTAGACCATTGACGTCGAGAGGGATTATTGTTATGGGGTTTTGTGTCATATTTCTGTAAGGGTTTGTTGTGCTTGTAGGGGTTTGTCTTGTCTTACAGTAGCCCCTTTAATCCTTCATTTAGGTTTGGGTTTTGAGTCTATGAAGTTCCTGAGCCATTGTTTATCCACAAAATAGTGTACTGTTCCTTCACATTTGAGTGAGAGTTTAGCCAGATAATATATTCTTGGTGAAGCATTCATTTCAGTGAGTTTTTTTCACTATAATTCACCCTTGTCTTCAGGCTTGGAGGGTTTCCTCTGATAGGTCTGCTGTGAATCTAAGGGGTGCTCCTTTGTACGTGATTTCCTTCTTTGACCTTGCTGCTTGCAGTACTGTGTCTCTATCCGTGGCATCCATCATTCTAACTATGATATGTCTTAGATTGTTTTTGTTAGGGTCTCTTTTAGCTGGCACCCTTCGGGCTCCTTGAATGTGGATACCTGCATTCTCCAGCTCTGGGAACTTTTCATCAATGATTTCTTTAACTGTGGCTTTTTCATTGGGATTGCTTCCCTGACCTTCTAGTACTTCAATGATTCAAATGTTGTTCCTCTTTTAATCATCCCCTAGGACTCTGATTCGCTGTAAAGCTATTTTGAGGTCTCTTCCCATTCTTTGTTGTTGCCTGTAGGCTTCCTACAGCTCATCTTCAAGCTCACTGATTCTGTTTTCGGCCGTAGCCATTCTACTGTTGAGGGCACACACTGAGTTTTTTCATTTCATCTACTGAATACTTTATTTGTGACACTTCTGTGTGTAGCTTTCCTATTTCTGCTCTCATTTCTTCCTGTATTTTCTCGATTGTCCCATCCATTGCTTCTTTCATGTCCTCCTTTAATTTACTGGATATCTGTCACACCATTTCTTTGAGTTCATTGAACATCTTCATTACTTCATCTCTGAATTCTTTATCGGAGAGCTCACATTTGTGAGTAAAACCCATTGAGGCCTCTGGACTCTTTTCATTGTCCTCTCCTCATGTTGAGGATGTTGTAGTGGTGGTATGGAGATTGAGATGTGACACCAGATTGCTGGGTATAGGTAATATAACTGTGGCTGCATGAGCGGCCTCCAGCACCCAAATAGGCCACACCCACTTCTGCAGAGACCACGCCCACTTCTGCAGAAGCCATGTCTCCTATGGGTACCTGGTGTGTGTGGGGGGGATGGGTACAGACCTGGGAGAGGGAGAAAACTGGGTGCTACATTGGGGACAAACAGAATGGTGCTTGCAGAGGGTGGGCGGCTCAGGGACCAAGAGGACGCCTGGGGCATGGTAGTGGGGGAGGTGGCTTCCCAGGTTCAACTATTCACTGACCTGGGAGAGAGAGAAAAGCCCTTTCCCTATTTTTGATGTTTTTTTGGGGATATTTTGTTGCTGATCTTTGTGAGTACTTTATATATACTGATATGAACCCTTTATTTGATGTGTTGACTGCAAATATTTTCTCCCACTCAGTGTCTTTTAGTTTTAGCTCATGTTTCTTTTGGCATGCAGAAACTCTAATTTGATATAGTCCTATGTGTTAATTTTGATTCTATCACCTTTGCTAATGGTACTTTATCACTGAAGATACCTTTAAAGGTTGAGATCTTGCAGCATACTGCCTATATGGGCATTCCTCAAAAAATTAGAAATTGAACTTCCACACGACCCAACAATACCACTTCTGGGAATATATCCAGGGGGCCAAAAGACACACACCAGTAATGCCATCTGTACCTCTGTGTTCATTGCAGTAGTATTCACAATAGTCAGAAACTGGAAACAACCCACATGCTAAAGAACAGATGACTGGATAAAGTAACTATGGTATATCTACACAATAGAATACAGCTGTTAGGAAAAATGAAGTCATGAAATTCACTTATAAGTGGTTGGACATGAAGGATATCATGCAAAGTGAAATGAGTCAGAAGGAGAGGGACAGACATAGGATTATGGGACTCATTTTTGGGATATAATAAACATGGTATGAGACTAAAGGATAGTAGAAAGTAGGGTCAGGAGAACTGGCCCCCGGTTAGAAGCTTGCCAGAAGGGGGAAGGAAATTTACCTTTATAAAGAGATTCTAAGAAAAATTAAATATAAAGCTATTTGCAGTTACAAATACAAATCTACAGAAAGTTGCATCATAGAGATCAATACATCACCAAGTAAATGATACAGAAAATACCTCTAAATGTGTAGGTTTAATGTACATGTCCATCATGTTTTACTAACCTTGAGTAAATATTTGTCCCAGCACCATTTTCTTGTTGTGATGCCAATGATTTCATCGGGAAGATTTGAAAATTTTCCCAGTCTTGTAAATTCATGCATACTTCTTATGTAAAGAATACCTTCTATTAGAAAAAACACTCCTTCGCGAGAGAAACTCACATCAGACACGCTTCTTCTTTCATCATCAGTCAGACTACCTGGAGGGACTCTGACTCTGGTCCATGTCTGAAAGGAATCATTTGACTGAAAAGTCTCCATATCAGATACCACCACAATATATGAAGTTGCACAAGCCTCCCAGTCTGCCATTAACTGACTCCCTCTGGGAGAAGAGATTGGCAGAAAACCAGGAGACTCAGGTATTGTCAAGAAAGGAACAGTCAAAAAGAAAATACTATCGGCAACTAAACAATCGTAAAAATCCACTGGGCGTCCTTTAATTTCTTTTAGCTCATCATCAGATGTCATTGGTAAGGTGATTGACCACATCCTAGGAATAGAAAAATAAAGAACATAGAATAAAATATGAGGTCCTCATCATTTCCTCTCATCTGACTTTCACAGTACTCACATTTAACATAGTTTAAAATTGAAAGTTTTATCAACATAAATCTGCACAACAAAGCAAATTTTTCAGTCCTCTTTGTTCTTTACTTTTGTTGCTAAAGAAAAACAACCTAGGGGGGTATGCTGCCGCCAGCAGGGCAATCTGTACCTGTGAGGCTAGTGCATCAGCAGCCTGATGGCGCCTTCAGACTTCTAGATATGCCCAAAATGCTGCTGTGCCTTTGGCCAGACCCCAAAAACTTGGGGCAAAGTTTACCAAGAAAGTAAACAGCCAAAAGTTAGGTATGTAGGAGACACACCCACAAACCACCTCCGGCTCAGCTATAAATTGGAGACATGGCCTCTCTGGTTCCTGAATCAAACTGCCTAATGGCCATGATCCCAGGGACTCAGAAACAAATCTCGAAACCCAATGGCTTTTGGAAGAAATGTGTCCAGTCCCTGCAGTAGGTTACTGGCGCTGGGCCACCCCAGGTGGTAATATGTTTTGTGCCTTGGCCTGTTACCCCTGGCAGCCCAGTGGCCATCATCTTCCAGAGGCCACTGGACAGTCAGGGTTGGGCCCGCAGTGACGAGACACGTGGGCCTCATGGGATGTGGGTGGAGCCGGCCCTTTCCTCCCCGTCCCAACGAGACCCTGAGTAGCTACCCATGAACAGCCTCTTTGACTCCTTATCAAGCTGCTTAACGGCCATGATCCCAGAAACTCAGAAACAAATCTCAAAACCCAGCAGCTTTTGGCAGAAATGCATCCGGACCCTACAGTAGATTACTGTTGCTGGGCCACACCAGTGGGGAAAGGGTGCTGTCCCTCCACCTGCTCCCCCTAGACGCTCGGTGGCCACCATCTTCCAGAGGCCATTGGACAGTCAGGGTTGGGCCCGCAGTGACAAGACACGCGGGGCCTCACGGCACAGGGGTGGAGCCAGACCTTTCCTCCCCACCCCAGCGATACCCTGAGTCGCCGCCCATGAACGGCCTCTCTGGCTCCTGATCAAGCTGCTTAATGGCCATGATCCCAGAGACTCAGAAACATTTCGGAACCCAGGGGTTTTAGGTGGAAATGCATCTGGTCCTTACAGTAGGTTACTGGCGATGGATCATCCCAGGTGGGAATAGGTTTCATGCCTTGGCCTGCTCCTCATGGCGGCCCAGTGGCTGCCATCCTCCAGAGGCCATTGGACAGTTAGGATTGGTACCACAGTGACAAGACATGTGGACCTCACTGGATGGGGATGGAGCCGAACCTTTCCTCCCCGTCCCAACAAGACCCTGAGTCACTGCCCACGAACGGCCTCTCTGACTCCTGATCAAGCTGCTTAATGGCCATGATCCCAGAGACTCAGAAACAAATCTTGAAACCCAGCGGCTTTTGGCAGAAATGCGTCTGGACACTGCAGTAGGTTACTGTCGCAGGGGCACCCCAGGAGGGGAAAGGGTGCTGTCCCTCCGCCTGCTCCCCCTTGGCAGCTTGGTGGCTGCCATCTGCCAAAGGCCATTGGACAGTCATGTTTGAACCTGCAGTGATGAGACACCTGGGGCCTCACAGGATGTGGGTGGAGCTGGCCCTTTCCTCCCCATCCCAACGAGACCCTGAGTCGCTGCCCACGAATGGCCTCTCTGCTCCTGATCAAGCTGCTTAATGGCCATGATACAAGAGACTCAGAAACAAATCTTGAAACCCAGCGTCTTTTGGCAGAAATGCGCCCGGAACCCGCAGTAGGTAACTGTCGCCGGGCCATTCTAGGGAGGAAAGGGTGCTGTTCCTCCACCTGCTCCCCCTTGGCGGCTCAGTGGCTGCCATCCTCCAGAGGCCATTTGTAAGTCAGGTTTGGGCCTTCAATGACAAGACACACAGGGCCTCACGGGACGGGGGTGGAGCCGGCCCTTTCTTCCCTGTCCCAAAAAAACCCCAAGTCACCACCCACAAATGGCCTCTCTGGTTCCTGGTCAAGCTGCTTAACAGCCATAATCCCAGAGACTCAGGAACAAATATTGGAACCCAGAAGGTTCCAATATTTTGGCAGAAATCCCTCCAGATTCAATTGTTAAAATTTCATAATTTCAAAATTGCACAGCCACTACTGCAGCTGCACGACATCATATGTTATTCATAACCAGCAATAGAAAACAAATTGTCTACTGTTGCCTTTTCAGCAGATATGAGTGTTGGAGTTAAATCCCAAATAATAATGGTGGGTCTGGTGTCAAAATGTTGACTGTGATCAAAGTAGAGAGAGAGTAATGTTGAAATTATCTGCCCCACAGGTAGGGGAAGGGTATGGGATGGGGGTATACTGGGGTTTTTGGTGGTTTAGAATGGGCACTGCTGAAGGTACAGGTGTTTCATTGTATGACTGAGACTTAGATCCGAAAGCTGTGTAACTGCTCTCACGGTGATTCCATAAGTAAAATTATAAAAAATGAAAAAAAAAGAAAAACAAAGCTAGATTCTCAAAGCTTTTTGTTCTGCAATATCTCCATATTCTCAAATAAATGGTCGCATACTTTTTAAATATATATTTTATGCATTATTAGTTTTATATATTTTATGCATTATTAGGAACTCTGCGCCAGGCTGTTTTCACTAGGGGCGCCCAAGAGTGAGTGAGAGCCCTCCCCACCCCAGTGGACCCAGCCCCAGCAGCCAACCTCCACTACCCAACCTCCATCATGCTCCAAGCTGCTTTCTGGACTGTGCGGCTGTATATATATATATGTATATATATATGCCTCTCGAAGAGCCCAGCAAGCTACCGAGAGTATCCCACTCATATGGGCAGAGCCTGGCAAGCTCCCCTTGGCGTATTTGATATGTCAAAACTGGTAACTATAACAGATCTCATTCCCCTGTCCCTGAAAGAGCCTCCAACAATTGGGAAAGCTGAGTAAGGAGAGGCTGCTATAATCTCAGGGCTGGGACAAATAGAGACATTACTGGCACCTGCTCGAGTAAATTGATGAACAACGGGATGACAGTGATACAGTGATTATTAGTTTTTATACAACAAAGTAGGGCTAGAGTGATAGCACAGCGAGTAGAGTGTTTGCCTTCCACGCGGCTGACCTGGGTTTGATTCCTCCGTCCCTCTCGGAGAGCCCGGCAAGCTACTGAGAGTGTCCCACCCCCACAGCAGCATCAGGGGAATGAGACCCGTTATTGTTACTGTTTTTGGCATATTGAATACGCCACGGGTAACTTGCCAGGCTCTACCGTGTGGGTGGGACACTCTCAGTAGCTTTCCAGGCTCTCTGAGAGGAATCACTGTATCACTGTATCACTGTCATCCCGTTGATAACGAATTACTCGAATGGGCGCCAGTAACGTCTCTATTCCTTCCAGCTCTAAGATTTTAGCAGCCTCTTCTTACTCGTCTTTTCCCAAAGATTGGAGGCTCTTTCAGGATCAGAGGAATGAGACCTGTTGTCATTACTGTATTTGGAATGTTGAATACGCCATGGGGAGCTTGCCAAGCTCTGCCCATGCGGGCGGGATACTTTCGGTAGCTTGCCGGGCTCTCTGAGAAGTATATAAATATATATATATGTATATATATATTTCCCTCTATGATTTGTTGCCTACTGTCTGAACCCCATCAAATATGGTGTGGTAATTATGGAAAATGGTTAGGGAGTGTCTTAGGATGTGTCCAGGAATATGTTCACTCATATGTGAGGCTCAGCATGAGCATGTGGAAAGTGGCCTGGAGTGTGGCAGTGGTTGGATAGTGGAGATCGGCTGCCGGGGCTGGGTCTATTGGGGCGGGGAGGGCTCTCTCCCCTCCCCCTTTGGGGCACCCCGAGTAAAAACAACCTGGTGTGGAGTCTGGTGGCATGGTCACGGCTGCTTCTCCCAGAAGGGAGCATAAAATGAGGCCCCCATAACTATGCCTCTGAACTCCATACCAGGCTGTTTTCACTTGGGACACCCCAGAGGGGAGTGGGCAAGAACCCTTCCCGCACCAAGGGACGCAGCCCCAGCAGCCAACCTCTACTACCTAACCACTGCCACGCTCCATGCTGCTTTCCACACATTCGGGCCGAATCTCACACATGAGTGAAGTCCCATGGAACCCAGGTATTGTGAAACTTTGTGACCTTGGACTTTGGGTTCAATGGGACCCAGGAGCAGAGGTCCTCTGCCTGCTTCCCCCAGTCTCTGGCAACCCAGGGGTCACACCCATAACTCACCTGCTGCTGGAGCCAGATGATCTCATTGGCTACCCTCCAGAACTCATGGCTGCTTCTCCAGAAGGGAGTGTAAAATTTGGCCCTCATATAAATTATATATCACTAATAAAGTATCTCAAAATTATATGAATACTTAAAAATTAGACTTCTATTTCTGGGCAATAGAGGAAACAGCATACCAAGAAGAATTTGAAAGTTATTTTGAAATATTTACAACTAAATTCTTGAGGGAATATTCTCAAACTTAGTCAAGTTTCAACCAAAAATAATAAAAGAACAAATACTATTTATGCAGAAAGTATAAATATAAAATTTAATAGCAAAAATAAAATTGAAAATAGAAAAAGTCAGGTGGCAGAGAAATAGTATAGGAGTTGGGTGTATACCTTGCATGTGGCCAAACCTAGTTTGATCTCAAGAATCACATGGTCCCCTGAGCATCACTGAGGGCAGTTCTGGAGGTCTCCAAGCACCCGAGGGATATCCCCCTAACTGCAGAGTACAAGAAGCACCACACCTTTTCAGACCCTGACATTGCCAAGATTGCTGATAGGGTACCTTTAGCCTCCTGAACATTTCTTTTTACTTCCCAAAAAAGAAAAGAAAACATAAATTCTCCAAAGCCAAAAGAATTTTTTTGAAAAAAATTGATAAAGCTCTAATAAGTCTTTAAAAAAGAAAAAGAGAATTGAGAAAGTCATCACAAATTAAATTAAAGATTTCACCCCAAA